ATTCAAAGCGACATCATGTTGCCCAGCACTCGACAATGCCGTCGCCGCCGCCGCCGCCGCCGCTGCTGCTGCCTCTGCTGTTGCTCTGTGTCGTATCCGGAGTGATTCCCCGCCCGTTGTTTTGTGTGATGGACGCACGTCGCCACTCAAGGCCGCCCACCATCTCAGTACACCCACTGCCTTTTGCAATTCGCCCGACGCCACGGTTAATCGATGGCCACGTCAAGCGTGTATTAGTTTAAGTAGGCGAGAACTCGCGCGAGTAGCATGGAGAGTCTCACTGGCAAGCTGTGACCTGGGTCACCCAAAAATGACCAAATAAATTGCAGAGACGAAAACTATAACGTACAATGACCAATACAATCGATCCACTGCTGGATGACGGCCTCCCCCAGGCGGCCACCGCCTCGTTACGGTCCTCATCGCCGCTCCTGCCGCACGAGCCGATAACATCGATCCGTTCCCATGGTGGATGTCCTCTCAGCGTGTTCACCTCATTTGGCTGCCGTTCCGTCGTTGAATCACCACCACAGTGCCACCGTCCCCTTCCAGGGACATACCCCCACCCCCACTCACCTTTATTAACAGCCGATGTGATCGATCGGTTAATCGTAGGCACGCCACGATCTAACGTGCCCACACTAATTGGATGAATTGTCATAATTCAGCGTCGGCACCCGATCCGTCTGGGTGTCCACCTGTCGCGTTTGCTTCGCTTTCATTTCACGTGCAGACTCCGTAAATTACCGGCTGTCACCCGCCTTGCTTCAAGGCGCACATCCGAAACGACAGAATCAATGTGAATCAATTAATCGATGTATCATTACACGCCTGATCATTAGCCTCCAGAGACGTCTAGGGTTTTCCCTACTGCATCCAAAATTATAATGAAACAAATTGAGTTCGGAGGTAAGCAATCTGCTCTCGGACCAGATTGACAACAGCATAACGACCGAACAGATTCACCAATTGAACCCTGCTCTCCCACCCCACCAAGATTTTATGAATTGTCAAATTTCCGAGTCATAATTTTATTTAAGAATGTGGCTTTTATTTGGCCTGTGTCTACGTTTAGGTGTGTATTTGTGTGTGTCTCTCTCTCTCTCGTGTGTTATTGCGTTTGTTCCGTCTCATTTATATAAAGGTTTCAAAGGTAAAATTTGCACAGAAAGTTCCATGTAATGGGTTGCAAAGAGTAGGTATTTATTTTTAAACGCACCATTCGATGCGCTCATCATCTATTGTGAAAGTAATCGCTCAGGTTAATCGATACACCGATTAATTAATCATTACACACCTAACATTTGGGGCTTAATTCTTCTCGCTGAATAGTTTCTGGCATGTCGATAGAGACTGTAGTAGGCACGCGGATTAGTAGCCAGCAGCCCTAGGCAGTTTCAGTTTTCAGTTTCATTTATTTGGTATAACCCTGTGAGCCATGCGGCTCTTAAATCGGGTGCAACCGCAACAAACAAAAACATGAACAAGGAACGTCTTAAACTGACTATGCACAACATAACAATTCAGGAAATAACAGCGAAGTCTTCCAGAAAAAGCACCGTACATCAACGCTGTGTGCAAAAATCCCAGTGGGATGCCAGGCCGAGGGAGACTGGATGCGGCGTGCTGAATATCTTCTGGGTCACCGCCACGGACAGACGCCTCCGGCTGAAACGAATCCGCGCTAACATCGCAGGGCTGCGAGGGATGGCGACGGCTTTGGGGAGGCCTTCATCCAGCAGTGGATTGGCCAAGGCCGGTGTTAATAATCAATATCCAACATTAAACACAAATATATATCTTGTAATGAGTCTTGAGCGAACGTCATTCATTGATGTCCGGAGCTACCATCATTCACTTGCTTGCTACCAAACAATTGCTATTATGATCATCAAGCTGACAAATGAAACGCAGGTCGGTAAAACGTATATGATTTTAGAACCTTCGCAGCTACAACAACAACAACAACAGCGAAGCGAGTTGTCTTCACAGCGACGTGGCGAGGCCGTCACGGACGTCACATTGGTTACTCAGTGAGAAAGCTTGAGGTGCCCCATCCCCCTCTCTCCACTCTCGCCACCGTCTCCCCCGTGCCAGCGACACCCAGGTGGGACATGTCGATGGTGGCTGGGGGCAGGGGGGCGAGCGAGGGAGGTGGCACCCGGGTGAGAAGAAACTCGAGACAGCCTCACCGATGTTGGGGTTTGAGACCGAGTCGTCGGTGGGAGGCTTTCCGCGACCAATGTTGTCCATAAAAAAAGTTGTTTTTGTTAAAGGGGGGATGGGGGGTGAGGGTTAGATCGCGTAAATATAAATGTGTCGTTGAACCCGCCACCACCCGACACGGCCAATTGGTGAGGTCTGTCACGCAAACGAAACGCGTCAATTAGTTACGGCTTCAGCACACACCGGTGAGTTGCAGAGTCAAAACACAATAACATCTTCAATTCGAGCACGACGTTCCAGTGTGGCGATAGCCAGTCCTGGCTATCGGCTGATGATGCTGGTTGTTGTTGTTGTCACCCAGCGAAACGTCACGGGACTCGAACTGTAAATGTCGTGGGTTTACGCTCCAACATAGCTGTGTGTGCCGAACCAGCAACTCTTTGGCACGTTTTGTTAACGTGAAATACCTTGCCAAGTGGCTGTGTCGGGTGGTGGCAGGTTTAACGACACAACATTTATATTTAAACGATCTAATCCCAAAAAAACCACCGTTTATTATGGATGTGTGAGGAAGCTATCGACAGCTCCGTACTGCACGGGCATCGTAGTCCGTAGGCGCGACTCCCCGGTCTGAGCGGTTGTTTGCTATCAGCTCGACACTGAAGTTGACTTTTTTTCAGCTCATTTGATCTCCAGGCGCCGGCAGTTGACACAACTGTGCAGGTTTTTGTGCGTTAATTTGCCCCCCCCCCGCCCCGACCCAAAGCTTCAATCCTGTACACATTTGGTGGAGCACATTCAGTCGATCGGCAGATCACATGTGGACGGAGGAAGTGCGTATGCATGTTGAACTTCTTTCGCACCGTGCGTAGCCAGCCGTGTTAATTCGGAGGTGAGGGAGTGTGGGTACTCCCACCGCTTGCATGCAGTGGGCTCAGCCGTCCCGTCGGGTACACGGTGAATCGGGGTGACTGCCCCGGGCCCTGCGCTTTGGGGGTTCCCCCTGGGCTTCGACGTTACGGTGTCAGATGATGCCATACTTCCGGTCAAACATCTTGCCGCGACTGACACGGCACTGAGAAGCCTCTATCCAGCAGTGGATTGGTTTCACGATCGATCATTGGTGCCGCAATTGCATGCGCGTTGCAGACAGGGTGGCCCAAAGATCAGGACACTTAGGGTTATTATATTTATTTTAACAATGGCATTAACATATTCTTAATTGTTTCATCTGTAAATTAATATTGTATATATTATCTCCAGCACTATCAATGTCTCTCCTTCCTTTTCAGGTGACATTTAAAAATGGAAAATAATATTTTGACCGAATTGAGACGAAACATAATTGCTGAATCTTCAAAGAGTTATCTTTCTTTAATCCTAAATTGATTAAAAAGGTTCATTCATGCGCGCGCCTTAACATTAATGGAAGTTAGTATGAGCATTTGTTGAAATAAATTAAATAACCCGACGTGTGATGTGAAAATAAATGTGTATCCTGACTTTTGGGCCACCCTATATATGCAATCAGCGCTGGGGTGATAATGTTAGTCACCCCCGACACAAATGGGACGCCAAGGTGGCAAGGAGATGTTAACTACCTCGCCTGGTATGCAGGAGGTCATGGGTTCGATCCCGACCCTGACGCCTGCTGCTGCATATTTGGAGTTTGGGTCTCTCTCTACCCGTGGTCACGTGGATTTTCTCCGGGTCCTCCGTCCCCCCCTCTCCACATTTAGAATCAATGTCACGCGTTCAGAATATTTGGCTGCTATACATTTCCACATGATGATAAGCCACTTCGTTGGCCTATCATTTGTGGCCAGGTCGCTTCTGAAAAATAGCTGTACAGCTCAGTGGGCCTACCGTGCTTAGCGTAAACAAGTAGCTTTAGTTTGCGTCGTCATCACGACAGCGATGCAAAGCGTGGCTCTGTGCTAGGGAGGCGAGAGAGAGTCTGGACCGAGATGATGAAAATATATTAACTTCGCACACTGCACCCTGCAAAGATTTGAAAAATCCACTTGCCGTAGTCATAATAATAATATCGTGACTGATTATAATTACATCGGAATTTGCCTCCTGCTGTCTTAAGAAACAGGGATAAAAATACAAACCTCCATCGTCGAACCTCGTGTGAGCTTTTATTTATTTTGCATTTTTAGAAATATAATACAACACCGACAAATGCGCCCCGATGTTAGCGACTTCGACAGCTCTGCCCGTCACCTCGGAGGTGGCGACACCCAGGGCACGCTGAGCGAGAGACAGAGCGAGAAGGATGGAGAGTCGCCGCACCAGCAGGGCACAGGCGCGATCCTCGTTCACATCCTCGCGTGACACGCTTATTGTTTATCACGCAATGGTCAACGTGATCGAATGCAACCGCGCTACGCAAAGACAACAAAAAAAACCACACAGGGCACAGGCAATATCGATCAACTTAACTGGAGTGTGGTAAAGTGCTCGAGCGATGAGATCGCATGCGAGGATCTGGAGATATGGGGCGGATTGTGAAGGTAGTGGCGGTGGTCGCGGTGGTCGATTCAGCCCTCAAATAAGTACCTGGAGCGGTGTGTAAACATCGCCAGTGGGGAGACAAAGGCAACCCGTGCTCCTTCATAAGGTGCTACTCGCTCGCAGCACTTGCCCCCCCCCTCAACAGGTCTGTTGAGGCTACACGGGGGGATCTTTGTCTTTGTTGGCGGTGGTGGGGCTGGCGAGGAGGGGGGCAGCGGTGAAAGCGGTGGGCTCTGTGGAACGAGAGGGGGGTGGGGTGGGGGAAGATCGCTGTGTGAACGCGAGCGAGGAGAGAGAGAGGGGGGGGAGAGGGATTATTCCCGAGAGTGAGCGCTTGGTTGCAGGCAGTCGCGGCCCGCCAGGTCAGCCAGGGGCACAGAGCGAAGAACTGCTGTAGCAACATGGCACAGCCACGAACGAAGACGCTGCTGCTGGGCATGGCGCTGTGCCTGAGTGTCGCGTTCCTCGGCCGCCCCTGCGCCGCCGGCTTCATGGACCATCTCTCCAAAACCAAGTTCTGTGCCGACAAGGAATGTACCTGTGAGTAGGAAAGAGAGTTTATATGATGATGATGGGTGGTGGTGGTGATGATTTCGTTAATATGTTTGGCTTGATTGATAAGAGCGTTTGCTGTGCTCCAAATGTATCTCTCTCTGCTCAAATGATGATGACTGGACGCGCGTTCAACTCCTGTTCGTGGTTTTAAGCCATTAGTGGAAATTCCATATTCCCATGATAGGGCCCAGTCTCTGTAGGACACTCTGGGTCACCAATGCGGTTGAGCACCGCCCAGCCGACTCAAGTTTTGAGTCAAAACAGTTTTCTTGATAACGACAGCGATGCTACGATACAATTTGGATTAATATAGCATCTATAAATAACAACTAAATGCAAGCGGATCTCAAGACAGTGTAGAGGACAGTGTTGAATATCTATTTTCTAGAGACAAAGAGGCCAGTCAGTTACAGGCAGAGTCAAGAAAAAAAAAGATCTTGGAGCTTGGACTTGAACAGGGGGCAGGAAGTCAACAGCACGGAGGACTCTGGGAAGAGACAATTCCAGACTGTGGGGGCAGCAGAAGAGAAGGAGCGAGCTCCCACTGAACAAAGGTTGTCTGTGGGCTTCATCAGAAAGCCTCCGTTGCAGGAGAGACAAATACGTGCGGGAGAGTGGAGAGCTATTGAGACGGGGGTGATAGAGAGGTAACTTTACTGTTAACTATTTTTTTATTTTACCAGATAAGGCCAACTGAGCTCTTTTTTCAGAAACGACCTGGCCACAAATGATAACGCAACGAAGTGGCTTGTCACGTGTACATGGAGAGCAGCAGGCAAACACTTTCAACCAGCGGCTCTTCACCTTGACTGCAGCCTCGCACCCCTTAGGTTCTCAATCGTAAAAAAAAAGTTTATGTTAATAAATACATAGGTTGATAAAACAAAGTAGTTGTACTTATGTGGCCGTGCTTAATGTGTGTTATCGATGCATTACCTTCTAAAATAAATCTGGCCGTGTCTCGCGCCCCCACAAAGGGCACCTCGCATCCCCAGGGAGGTGCTTGCACCCCAGGCTAAGAACCACTGCTCCAAGCGCGCGTTGATTCGAAACGTGGAGGTAAAAAAACATCGGAGGACCCGGAGAAAAATCCACGCGACCGCGAGGGGAAGAGAGAGGGAACACGCAAACTCCAAATATACAACAGGCGTCGGGGTCGGGATCGAACTCAGGCAACTCCTGCACGCTCAGGCGAGCAGGGGTGAGTCCACGGCGGGGTGGCGGCAGAGCAGTCGCACGTTGATTGCCGGGGGCGGGTTGGGATCGAGAGCCAAGCAGAGCGATCGGAGCGCTTGGGGCTGCCCTGGGTCACGTGCGCGGCGCCGGTGAGGAGTCTGGCCGCGGAGGTTTTGGATGGCGTGGGATAGTGTCTGGGAGAGTGTCTGGGATAGTGTCTGGGAGTGTCTGGGAGAGTGTCTGGGAGTGTCTGGGAGAGTGTCTGGGAGTATCTGGGAGTGTCTGGGAGTGTCTGGGATAGTGTCTGGGAGAGTGTCTGGGAGTGTCTGGGAGAGTGTCTGGGAGAGTGTCTGGGAGTATCTGGGAGAGTGTCTGGGAGAGTGTCTGGGAGTATCTGGGAGTGTCTGGGAGAGTGTCTGGGAGAGTGTCTGGGAGTATCTGGGAGAGTGTCTGGGAGAGTGTCTGGGAGTGTCTGGGATAGTGTCTGGGAGTGTGTCTGGGAGAGTGTCTGGGAGAGTGTCTGGGAGTATCTGGGAGAGTGTCTGGGAGTGTGTCTGGGAACGCGAGGCCGTACGGGAAGGGAGCTGTAGACGTGGGGTGAGTGGCTACGTGGCAGCAGCAGTAGTTGTTGTTGTTGCGGCTGTTGCTGCTATCGTGAGAAACACAATGGAGAGACGACGCCGATTACCAAACCCCTTGTTGACGCCACCAATATGAAAGTCATGAAGCATTAATCCTCATGAGGAACCTCACATGCAGTTGCGCAATTAACAGACCGCTAACACGATTGCATCAATTGATAATACTTTTCCGTGACTCTAAACCAGTGGGTGATGCAAATTATATATATATTTACTGCGACCGATTAAAGTTCCGTACGTAAGTCACGAGCGCGTAAACAGCCAACGACTCTCCAATTCGCCTGTCAGTGGGAGAGTTGCGAGCGAATGCCGCTCCCGTTGAGCCCCGGGTAACGTAAAGGGCGTGGCACGCACAAGGGCCATGGCGACACGCGCGCTTGGAGTTACACTGAGAGACGGCAAGAGGAGCACGTGGAGCAGACAACACACACGGGTCAGCTGCATCACTTAGAACGCGGTGGCTTGGAGATGTTAACGACCTCGCCTGGTATTCAGGAGGTCGTGGGTTCGATCTCGACCCTGACGCCTGCTGCTGTATATTTGGAGTTTGCGTGTCTCTCTCTCTCTCTCCGTAGTCGCGTGGATCTTCCTCCAGGTTCTCCGGGTTTTCACTCCACATTTAGAATCAACATCACGCGTTCAGAGTTTTTGGCTGCTATAATTGCCCACGTGATGATAAGCCCACTTCGTTGAGCTATCATTTGTGGCCAGATCGCTTCTAATAAATAACTACGTAGCTCAGTGGGCCTTACCTGGTAAAATAAAATAAAAAATATGTTTTTAGTTTAGAGTAGGCCTGGGCAGGACGCGACATTGCTCGAGAAGGGTTGACAGTCGAGAGTCGAGGATGTCTGTGTGTATGTTGAACCTCTTTCGCACCATGCATACCCAACCGTGCTCATCGGAGGTGCGGGTAAAGATGTGCGTCATCGCGGACGTTGATAAAAAATAAAGGATGAACACGGACAGGCGAGCCTTGTACTCTCGTGATAGTTGTCTTATCGTTGATAATTCTCAGCCCAGGCCAGCCCTAGCAGCATTGCGGTGAACACCGAGTGAGATAGTAAGCCCCTGAGTTCGCGAGACACCGACGCGCAGGCATGCAACACGTGCGCGTGATCCTTCAGGATAGCCGGAGCCCCGATTCAGTCACGACGCATCAACGGCCGCTCACTTACCGCTCCTGATCCTGCTGCTGCTGCTATCGTCGTATTTCTGCTGCCCCCCCCCCCCCCCCACAGACGTCATCTCTATGGGCGAAGCCACTGGAGACTACTCGGCTCCCGACTGCAGGTTCATCAGCTTCAAGAGCGGCCAAAGCATCTTCATCTACTCCAAACTCAAGCCCAACGACGGCGAGGAGTACTGGCTGGGCAGCGTGAGCGACCCCAGCAATCTCCCGTGGCCTCGGGCCCTCCTCTGCCCGCACGCAGCTCACTTCGATGTTTTTAAATCGCCACTCACGGTCGATCCATTATAGGGGGCGGGGGGTGTGGTTCGGGTCATCACGAAGATATCAGCAAGCGCGCACATTCTCATTGAGGAGTTTGACGCGGAGTAGTCGTAGGCTTTCGCGGCCAACATTATCCAGAATTACAACAACAAAATTGGGTTAGGTCGCGTAAATATGAATGCGTCGTGAAAGGCCGTCAACCACCCGACACAGCCAATCAGCAAAGGTTTTCCACGCAAAAAAAAAACACTTGCCGATGAGTTACCGGTTCAGTTAGCGGTTCAGCACAGCGGGTTGTGCGTTGGGCGGAGTGAAACCCCGCAACATTCACAACTCGAGTCCCGCGACGTTTCGCCCGGCAATCACAACTAGCATCCTCGTGTCTTGCTTGTCGATGTTCGAGACTGGCAGTGTCATCACAGCACCGGAGCGAAGGGCGTAATCGTAACCTCGTTGCCATCTCGCATTTATCCGCGGGGCGACACGTTCCGAGATTTTAATCGAGGGGGCGGTGGTGGTTGTGGTGGGGTTCTTACCCCAAGCCACAAAAAGTGGAGTCGAGGCGCTGGGCTGGGGGGGTTTCGGGATCGACGGAGCGTGTGCGCTGGTCTCGTTTGCCGCCGTGCCACGCAGGTGTACAACGCCCAGGACGTGGCTCAGATGGGGCTCCTGGGCTACTTCCCGAAGAGCATGATCAACGAGGTGCACAAGTTCGCGCCGGCCAAGATAAAGCTGCCGACCAACGTGAGTCGCGGACAATTCGCCACGCCACGTAACCTCCCAGCCGAGCCAGCCGGGTCGGACCAAGAGGGCCCCCAAATTCAAATCCCGTACCTCGGCCACGCCCTCCATCGTACGGATTCACCAACGCGAGACGCTTTTCACCTTCGCTCGGCTCTGTGAACCCAGCGGAGCTGCGCTCGGTATTAGGCCCGTGGTTAACATCAGTAACATCACACAGCTGTCAACCCCTGACCAGTGCCCGACCTTATTACAGACCAATTCAGACCTTATTTGTCACCCCGTGCCGTTATAAATCTCAACGTTCATCCTACAAAGTCCCACCGCAAGGGAGAAACACAAATAAATAGACAACAAAAATTGCCCGTGTTGAAACGGCTGTACGCCGCATGGACCTGTAAACTCAAATTCCCTGTACAAGAATACGGGGCAAACCGTACGGGTTGACAGTTGTGGCATCATCTGGACCGTTTAAAGCCCCCTCTCACCCTCCTTCACCAACCAACGCTGACAAGCGTGGAATTGCGGTCAAACGCCCCCGCATGACTGTGGCCTTGCTCCATCCGGCAGTGGATCGAGAAAGGGCCCCTACATTTCAACGATCACCTCCGATTGGAGGCATCCGTTACACGCTTTGCGGGTCCCATTCAAACAAATCATAGGCTGCCCCTGACGCGGTTGTCTGGGCATTACCACCTGAATGTGAAACTGTAGCCGTGTTGCTCTACATCGTCGACATCATCAGCCGTGCGTACGAAATAAGATTCAAATGAATCGGTACCCTCGACGTCACGCAGCGCATCTTGCGACAATCTACTTTGTGTTGGAACACAGAAGGTTTGTAAACGTGTGGAGGTTTACGATGGTGGGCCCTGTGAGTTATACGGCATTCCAAAAGTTATCGCGTAGACCATCTTGTAGCGAGCAGCTGGGATTTCAGAGGTTAAGTTTAAACGTAAGTTTTTTTTTTAACCCGGTGATAACTCCAGAGACCAGGATAGTCTCATTTGCAGGAGTGAGTGGGTGGGTGATGAAGTGAGTGAGCGAGTGGTTGAGTGGCATGATGGATGGTTGAGTGGACTCAAGTTTCACGTTGTCGTTTCTTTAGCCAGGTGAGAGCGCACAGAGGCCAAGCCGAGTGCCACTCGCAGCGCTCTTGTGACGCGCATCTTTCTTGTTCCCAAACAGGACTTGGACTTTTACTGCGACTCTTAAAAATGGGAGAAAACTGCACGGAAAATTGCCCCAAGAGGAAGAGCAGGAATTCCAGCAAGGGCAGGAATTCCAAGAAGAGCAGGAATTCCAACAAGTCTCGAAGTTTATTTTGCCAAGACCGGAATGTATGGGGCGATTGCTCGGCACACACTTCGTTTAACTTACCCTGTTAAGTGGCAATACTCATTATTGCAAAGCTTGCAATTGCTACTTTTGAAACGTACTTAAAAGCATTTATTCTGATCCAATGCGGTGAATATCGCATTCGCTAAAATATGAAAATGTTTCAGAACAAAGATGGTTAAGTCCGAAGATGTGAAGAAGTGTCTGGGTTCTTATCACAACCTTTCTGTCTCGCTGCCGTATTTGACTAAAAAACAATTACGGTTTGCCAGAATGACACACGTCCCGCGTTTGCTTTGATCGCGAATTTTAAATAATATATTTTGCCTCGATTTATCGTGTATGATTAAAACATGAGCGGGGCTGTGGGTGCGGATGTACACACACACACACGGAGCATATCTCTCTGTTTGCGTTCGCTTACGGCTTTCATCATCACATTTAATTTCTCTCTGCCCGTTCGCACGTGCGTTGAACTTTACAAAAGAAACTGGGAATCCCGTGGTTTATATTTCAAAGAGCGGAACGTGTTCTTTGTCTAAGGATACAGGTGGATTTTCCGTATCGCCACAAAAAAAACTCACCAGCCCCGTACTTTTTGCTGTCATCTCCGTGAAGCCTCTCCGATATCTGTCCGTCTCTCTCCGCCGCTAGTCTTGACCTTTCCCGCTCTCGCGCTCTTTCACTCTGAACGCTATAAACTATTTTTTGTTCCTTAATTTTACCAGGTAAGGCCCACTGAGCTACTATAGTTATTAGCATCACCGCTATTGAACGCTCCACCGCACGGCAACGTGCGGTGGAGCGCGTTTGTCGACGTAACGATGCAATAAAGCGCGCGCTGCCTATGCTCCGAACTCTTCATGTCGATTCAAATTATTATTGCCTCGCTTTATTTCATAAAAAAAAAACTTTACTTACGACGAAGTTCACGCAACAGCGTGACTATTGCAGAGTATCGTGGACACCGTCCTAATGTGTGTGTTCACCTGCCCGAGAGGCCGGCAAAACAACCCCCTACCTCCTCGCGGTGCCGGACGGGCAACTCTTTCGTGGACAGTGCTGTGGGGGGAGGTCCAATTCCGATTGGCTCCTCCCCTCATGGCGTCTGTGACCACCACAGTGGCTAAACGGGGGCTCTGGACGGGTGCGAGGGGCTGGTAACCCCTCCACCTTCAATTAATTGCCACTAAACCACGTATAAAATATCTAACTAATAAGCTTGTGCCGGAGGCCCCGGGGGGACAGGCGTCTATGACGTCTCCTGACCAAACCCCAATTGGCGGAGCCAGAAGATTGAATATCTACCCTCGGGGCTTCTCCAGAAACAACGAAAAGCCACTACGTGTGGCCACGTGGAATGTTAGAATGCTCACTGCGGAGGAGAGGCTGCCACTCCTCTATTAGGAGCTGGACCGGTACCGCCTGGATGTTTGTGGCATTCAGGAGATCCGGTGGACCGGTTCTGGCTCCTGCCATCATGAGGGGTGGACAGTCCTCTACTCGGGGCAGCAGACTGTCAAACAACAGGGTGTGGCTCTTCTTATGAACAAAAGAATGAAGGGGGCATGGGAGCATGGCGGTGAGGTGTGGGAAGCTGTAAGCCCCAGGCTACTTTGGGCTCACCTTCTCATCAATCGGAGGCGAGGAGTGGTGGTCGTGGTTACTTATGCCCCCACCGAAGACGAACATCCGTGGAGGGATGCAGGCAAAGCAGATGAGTCGGATGCCTTCTATGACCTCCTGTCACAGGTGCTGGCTAAAATGGCCCCTCGGGATAGAGTCATCTTGTTGGGTGACTTCAATGCCCGAGTGGGTCATGATGCTGGCACCTGGTCTGGAGTGATTGGAGGGCATGGGCCAGATCAGCTCAATAACAACGGTAGGAGGCTGCTAGATTTTTGTGCAGCCCATGGGCTTGTAATTACCAACACGCTGTTCCGGCATCGGCGCATCCACACAACATCATGGATGCATGCCGGGTCCAAGCAAGAACATCTGCTGGACTACATAGAGATGGACCAGCGGATGCGAGCCCATGTCCTTGACACCAGGACTTACCGTGAAGCTGATCTGCCCTCTGACCATCGACTTGTCATCTGTAAGATGCGCCTGCCATTCTTCCGCTCCGGTGGTGGGTGTACACCCAGGACCCCATTCCAACCTAAAGTGGCCTGGTCTCAGTTATCTGATGAAAGTTATCTGATGAAAGTTGGCTGAGGTGCCATCTGTTGAGGAAGTACTGAAGGCGATCCGGAGTCTGAGACCAGGAAAGGCAGCGGGCAGAGATGATCTCCCAAGCGAAATGCTGAGGGAGGGTGGCGTTTGTGCACAGACTGCCCTATATGACATCATAACAACAGTCTGGACCACTGGACGGGTTCCGCAGGATTGGAAGGATGCCCTAGTGGTCCCCCTCTTTAAGAAGGGGGACCGCACAGACTGTAACAACTACAGGGGCATCTCACTCCTCAGTGTGCCGGGAAAGGTCCTGGCAAGGATTATTCAACATCGCCTTGCCAGGCACGCTGAGGAGAGGCTTGCGGAGCCCCAAGGCGGTTTCAAGAAAGGGCGGTCCTGCACAGATGCCATATTTTCTGTCCGTCTGCTACAGCAGAGGTAGAGGGAATTCCAGCAAGACCTACATCTTTGCTTTATTGACCTGGTCAAGGCCTATGATACCATCAGTAGGCCTGGGCTCTGGGTTGTTCTTCGTGCTTTTGACCCTCTGCTCACGATCATTAAGGACCTTCATGATGGTGAGCGGGCCCGGGTAAAACTACATGGCCGGGAGTCAGAGCCATTCCCTGTAGACCTTGGGGTGCGACAGGGATGTCCTCTGGCTCCCACATTATTTAACATCTATTTTGACCACGTAGTTCGTGAAGCCTTCAATAGCTGTACTGGGGGAATCTTCATATGGTACAGATATAATGGGAGGCTGATCAATGCCCGGGTGCGGTCAAGGGATGGCTCCCTATTGCTCAACCACGTTATGTATGCCGATGATTTGGTAATAGCTGTTCATTCAAAGGAGGAGTTGGAGATGCTGCTGCTGAGACTGGAGCGTGCCACTAAGAGATGGGGCCTTACCATCAGCCCTACCAAAACTAAGCACCTGCCTGGGTATTTTGTACCATCAGACACTCCACCCCCACAACTCCCAATCGGTGATGGGGCAGTTGTGGAGAGACTGGAGAGTTTCCCATACCTGGGCAGTGTGCTTATGACCGGCTCCAGTTTAACAGCAGGTCTCACTCCGAATCAGTCGAGCGGCAATATCTTTTCATCGGTTTCGTAACGCTGTGTGGAAGCTACCTGGTCTGTCGCTCCGCACTAAGCTTCAGGTCTTCTCGGCCACGGTCATTCCCTCCCATCTCTACGCTTGCGAAACGTGGACCCCCCTAATGGAACATCTTCGCCGGTTAGAAACATTTAGGTTGGCCTGCCTACGATCCATCCTGGGTTTAAGCAGGCTGGATTGTGTGAGGAGCTCACAAATCCTTGAAAGATCTGGGCACGGTCCTATCGGTGAGCTCCTCTGGCAGGCAAGGCTGCGTTGGCTGGGTCATGTATCCTGCATGCCCAGCCACCGCATGCTAAAACAGCTTTTGTTCGGCCGGATCGAGGGGGCTAAACAGGCACGGCACGGGCTAGAGAAGAGATGGAGTGATGTGGTACAGGAGGACGTGGAGCTGAGTGGACCTGCCGATGACTGGTACCAGCGGTGTCAAGATCGGCCTCTGTGGAGGAGGCTCGTGAAGGACGCTACGGGGGAGTTGGAGGCAGTCGCCCTCCAACTACAATGGAGGGCGGAGGATCGATGCTCACAACAACGAGCGGAGCGCTGGGTGGCTAAAGCACAGCAGGTTGGCACAGTAGGGGCCACAGGTGGTGCATCAGCCAGTCATCTCAGTCAGTCGACCCGTGGCACCTGGGTCTGCCCCGTGACCTCCTGCCAGCGGGCGTTCGACACTTCACGTGGCCTCAAGGTGCACATGGCCTGGCACAGGCGTCGTGGTGACGTCACCGCCACTTAGTGGCGAATGGTGGTTGTTGTTGTTGAGAGGACGCGCGGACACCTTCAAAATCTTCCGCCTCTGGTTCCACTGCCTGCAGGATCGGCCGCCCTCCGTTGCCTCTCCGACCTCGTGGCGCCCCCCGCTCCCAAATCGCCACCAAAACTCTCCCGCATCGCTACCCAGGAGGAACTCTCTCGCGACACCCCCCCCCCCCGAGAGTCAGGACCACGATCGCCACGCGTCGTTTCCTCCCTTGCTGACCCTGCCACCACCTGGAACGCGCCACCACCACCCCCCCTCGACTCTTCGCCCACCCCTTCAAGCGCCTTCTCAAATGCAACATCTTCTTTTTACTTTTAACCGAGCGGATCTCTTGAGCTGGGCTCCCGCGCCTCTGGGTCACTGCCTTCGAGCGAGTCGAAATTGTGCGCGTGCCAAATTTAGCATAATTATTATTCTTATTAAAGCCTTGAACGCCGCCGATCGAACAAGATCGATTATTGCCTTGTTTTTCACCAGCTGCAAAACACGGCAGTGATTCAATTCCTCGAATTTCATCGGTGGCAAACCGGACGCGTCTCGTGCCAGCATCGCCAGAACAAAGAAAGCTTCACACGACGATGCCCAAACATCGATGTTGAAGCTGGTCAAGTTGACGAGACGTTCCAAAGCCACTGGTGTTTTAGGCCTACCCGTGGGGTACTCCAGCCTCTGAGCTAAAATCAAAATACAAAAAAGTGCACTTCGTCGAAATAATAAAAAAAGGTTTCTATTTTTTGGCGTTTGAACATCTTGACACCTGTTTTGTTTTGATTTAAAGCTTTCGTGACTGCAGTAATTCATATTCTTAGCTCTTTCGGTAAAGTCACGTTGAAGGGAAACAATAAAATAATAAAATATATATAAAACAATAAAAAAAATCTCACGACGTTTCGAAAAAATTCTCACGACGTTTCGAAACGTTGTGAGATTTTTTTTTATTGTTTTATATATTTTATTATTTTATTGTTTCCCTTCAACGTGACTTTACCGAAAGAGCTAAAAATACCTGTTTTGTTGCCAGAAAGGGTAAAAAGCTATTCTATTTTTTCAAACAATACAAATAATAAACTTGGCTCATCTGGAATAGCTGCTCAAGGCTGTCACGAAGGGCGCTGTGTTTCACAGACGCGGTCTGCGGTAGTTTCGCAGGAGGGGGGGGGGGGGGCGCTGTTGCTGTGTGTCATCAAAATCGAGAGTTTTGTCTTCGGAAAAATTTGTTTCCAATTTGGCAAAGTTGGACCATGACGCCGGCAAAGAGTGTGGCCGACTCCTGCGAATGTCGTCACGGCATCTTTGACGTCCAATAACCATAATGATAACAACAACAACCATAAATTTCGATTTAAAGCTTTCGTGACTGCAATGATTCATCTTCTTTGGTTCTTTCGGTAAAGTCACGTAGAATGAGAATAAAATAATAAATTGATAAAATAAAATAACACAATAATATTCTCACGACGTTTCGGCCACAACACAAGCGGCCTTCATCAGGTGAAGGGACGAGACTGTCTGGTAGGACAGCGCTGGAGTGAAAGAGCCACGTTCAGATCACGGCCTTTAAGCTGTGTGAGAGGAACAAAGCGCCTTGACAAAGGAATTAGCATATAATTTAGCATTGAAATGGCTTAATGATTAGCTTGTGACTGGTCACAGAAATAGTTATGTTAAAAGTTAAAGCATACACATCCGCAGAGGCACCCCTTGACAATGGAATTAGCATAGAATTTAGCATTGAAATAGCTAAGTTAAAGCATACACATCCGCAGAGGCACCCCTTGACAATGGAATTAGCATAGAATTTAGCATTGAAATAGCTGAGTGATTAGCTTGTAACTGCTCAATATTGGACCCGCAGCATTGACCAGGGCGGCCTGCCGGGTTTGAACCGAGAACCTCTGCATCAAACGGCGAAAGGGACTGCACCAAGCCGTGTAATCGTCTCCTCCACACCCCAAAAAAACACAATAGGTAAAGGTGCAGCCCTGCAATTGCTTCCTAATTCCGGGGCTGATAGCGAGAGTATATGAACTGGTCCTGCCCACACCACCAACCCGCATTGACCAGCGTGCATGTGTAGATGTATGTAGAACTTCTTTGGCACCGTACGTAGCCTATCGTGTTAATCAGAGGTGAAGTATGTTCGAACAACTCCCATGACCGTGGCAAAAAGAGCTTCATAGCTCATTTGGTTACCCCACGATAAACATTCTCTTTCTGGTTACTAAATACAGCTTCAATTAAACGTTCCTTGACTTCACTCATTGTATTTCAAACAAAAAATGTTGTTCCAATCACCCGAAGCGTATGCTGTACTTCGCACGTGTGAGGGAGGCCTTCATCCAGTAGTGGATTGACAAAGGGCTGTACTGTACACACGGGGGTATTTAAAATAATGGCATATCCTTGCCCAGTCTACAACAAAGGGGCACCTCTGAATTGAAACTTTTTTTTACGAGAGCAGAGGCATAATTTGATTTCAGGCGAAATCAATGCCTCTGACATTTCCCATCAGATGTGATGAATGAGACTTGGACACAATTTTGTGATCACCGTAATTTGTCAGTGGCATAGTTTTTTTTTACCACAGTCGAAGAAGCACGTTACGGTTTTTCATTTTGTGCGAGCGTCAAAGTTCAATTTCGGCCTTGAGAAGGCAGAAATTAATTGAGAGCAGGGTAAGCCACATGGTCGCCTACTTTTTAAGCAAATCAGTCACACACATTGTACACACGGGCGTTCACGGCATGCAGCGATGCCGATATATTTTGCATCTATCACCAATTCCATCCTAATCATGCCATTTAGAGTGAATGTTATTTTTTGTTGTCTTCCGCCATCCTCGATCCGAGGGTGAGGCCGCACCACGGGCAATCCTTCGCCACTGACTTCAGTCTTCTGCTATCCTCGCTGTCTTTTCCGGCGTGAGCCTCGTCCATGCCATGATGTTATCCATCCGCTGGCATCCTTTTTGTCTTCCCTCGCGCACGTGACCCGGGAATCGTGCAATGCTGCCAAAAAGCACTCCCACGTGCTCCGGTCAGTGCCGGATTATCGTAGTAGCACAAGTAGCTACATATATTTAGGGCCCCGCACTTTCAAGGGCCCCGCGCTAAATGCTTTCAAGCTCTCAATTCCAGTCCAGTGATGTTGCACTTGCTCTATTACTATAGTACCATACTGCCTTAAACTTTTCTGAACGACTGGGTGTTTAAGGTTAGCGACTTGTCGTATTATCTGGGCTGTATAGCACATGGAAAAATACAATTAATTTACGATGCAGGTTTTAAAAATGTACAGTGAGGGAAAAAAGTATTTGATCCCCTGCTGATTTTGTACGTTTGCCCACTGACAAAGAAATGATCAGTCTATACTTTTAATGGTAGGTTTATTTGAACAGTGAGCGACAGAATAACAACAAAAAATCCAGAAAAACGCATGTCAAAAATGTTATAAATTGATTTGCATTTTAATGAGGGAAATAAGTATTTGACCCCCTCTCAATCAGAAAGATTTCTGGCTTCCAGGTGTCTTTTATACAGGTAACGAGCTGAGATTAGAAGCACACTCTTAAAGGGAGTGCTCCTAATCTCAGCTTGTTACCTGTATAAAAGACACCTGTCCACAGAAGCAATCAATCAATCAGATTCCAAACTTTCCACCATGGCCAAGACCAAAGAGCTCTCCAAGGATGTCAGGGACAAGATTTTATACCTACACAAGGCTGGAATGGGTTACAAGACCATTGCCAAGCAGCCTGGTGAGAAGGTGACAACAGTTGGTGCGATTATTCGCAAATGAAAGAAACACAAAAGAACTGTCAACCTCCCTCGGCCTGGGGCTCCATGCAAGATCTCACCTCCTGGAGTTGCAATGATCATGAGAACGGTGAGGAATCAGCCTCAGAATTACACGGGAGGGTCTTGTCAATGATCTCAACGCATCCATACGTCGTGCAGGTCCTGGGGAATTGTTTGGTCATACTTCACCACGCTGGTCAGTGCGGATCTGATGAAGTCGGGGAACATACATAACACATTGGGGGGCACCGAAGTGCAGTACAACAATGGATTTGCTGCGCTACACTGTCTTTGCTTGACTCAACATTCCCCTGACACTGTTTTTATATGACACACAGAGGTGTGAAATGAGGCCACAGAGTTGACCATCAGTAGAATTCAATTCGAAACATCATTGTTGGGAGTTTGTAGTATTGTATGTGGAATTGAGACTTAAAAGGCCCTGCCGTCTCGAATGTTGTACTGGGCAGCTGGACGAAGAAGAAGAAATAAAAGTACGACAATCCGACAACTTAGGAGTTTATTGTCACGCTCAAAAAAGTGGCAATATTGACAAATGATACTTTAGTGTTTTTATATTAAAAATATACACGACTGTGATGACCTGTGCAGCAACAGCAAGAGACTCAAAAGCTACTTCTTAGTTCTTCCCCTCTCTGCAATAAAAAGCTCTTGAAACTTGCTTCAATAATTCAGCTCCATCCCGCATGGCCGCGCCGCTCAACGAACACGTGGGCGTCTTAAGAGCGGACAAATCGTCTGCTCCACAGCACCGATCACCCCGAGTCGCAGCAAAACCACTCAACAGTTGTTGCTGTATCGCCACAACGTACATTGAAGAGGCCACACACCTCCTTCAACCACATAAAGCCGTACGTATAACATTTTCCCTTTGTAATACGAGTTTTCCTATAAAGGTATGCACAGCGGCGAGATGTTAACTACCTCGCCGGTATACAGGAGGTTGTGGGTTCGATCCCGACCCCGACGCCTGTTGTATATTTGGAGTTTGCGTGATCTCTCTCCCCGTGGTCGAGTGGATTTTTCTCCGGGGCATCCGGTTTTTCCCTCCACATTTAGAATCAACGCCACACGTTCAGAGAGTATCTGGCTGCTATAAGTTTCCACGTGATAAGCCACTTTTGCTGAGCTATCATTTGTGGCCAGGTCGCTTCTGAAAAAGAGCTATTGAGCTCAGTGGGGGTCTTACCTGGTAAAATAAAAATAATTTATTTTTTCTGAAATTAGTAAATCGGCAGGTCGTGTGAGGTGGGAGTGAATTGCGCCTGCTCCCACCTCGTCAAAGACATCTGCCCAGCGAGCAAGATTAGGCCAAATACACTCGAGGGGATGGGCTCTCTCTCTCTCTCTCGAGCTCCCAAGAGTCAAGAGGCCCTACCACTCGTAGCGGCGTGAGCCAACAATCGCAGGGCTCCACCGATACCTTTGCCTTTATAGCCATAAACCGCGATCTACGCGAGGGTGGGTGTGCGTCTCCCATCCTACAGGGTAGCGGTTAGCGCGCTGCGCTACAAACCCATCCACCCGAGTTCGATTCCCGCTCACGGCTAACACCAGTGGCGATTATCCGGACCGGTACTGGGCGTTCCCTAGGTCGACTCAGCCTCAAACGAGTACCTGGTGCGGTGTCTAAAAACATCGCTACTGGGGAGACAAAGGCGGCCGGGCGTGGTTGATGAGCCACCGACCCCCGTGCGTACTGTAACGGCCTTCACAGCTGCTACTCGCTAACAACACTTGCCCCAAGTGTGTTAAGGCTGTACGGGGGATCTTTGTCTTTGAGCGTCTCTCCCTTCCCCTCTAGCACTGCAGTAATGCTGTACACTGTGTCAACATGAGATTTGTCCTCATCATTCTGTACTGCGTCTGTGTATTGCCGAGCCACAAGTAGCACCGCTGCTACACATTGCTCACCAAATTCACACACGCCCTTGGGGATTTTCATTTTAATTGGTAAAAAAAACCCCAGTGAATTTCTTATTCGGTAAGGACATGATTAAATATGCACATTAATATTTGCCTCAAAAACAAATTTATCTGAGTGTGTATAAACATTTCTATGCAATTATTCTTGCTCGATCTGATCATAGATTAACTGTGCATGTTCATAAAATTATGCTCACAAAACTATTTTCTTTAATTGCTTAGCCATGAACCGGGTTAAAAAAAATGTAATGTATGTTCAAGAGCGTGGATCTTCATTAAATCTACAACCAGTAATACATTGCACAGGGGTGAAAGGTGATGCTATGAACCCAGCCACCTGAGTTTAGATCCATATCATGGCTAACACCATCAGCAGGTACAAGTGTAATAGTTCCCTGCAGATATGTTCCTTACACTTAGTTCATTAAAAGAGATAATGATTATTAAGACAAATGTGAAGTATTATCCACATTGAATAAGTTACGATTGTCACCACAAAAACCATTACCTGGGGACAGATGACCCCCAGAAAGGTCAGATTCGCTAAGAGAACATTAACTCGAGTCATCAATGGCACACTGTATGCATACTGACGTGACGTGATGCAGGGAGTGGACGGCATTGGTGTGCGTCACGGTGAGCACAGCCCGCGCTATGAAGCCGAAGACACGGAGTCACTTCTCGGCTACGGGCAACTTCGGTGCCGAGTGACATCTGAGACCAGCCCTGGGTCTCATCCCCTTCAACCCACACGGCCGCCATTGCATGGGGAGGGCTTCATCCAGCAGTGGATTGATAAAGGGCCGTACATTATGACATTATACGTGCGTGCGTGCGACACCGCACACACGCGCATACGTCAAAAAGGTTTAGAGTCTGAAATAGAGCATCGGCACGCAAAGTACAAACGAAATGCCACTCATGTTTAAAAATTAATGACCTCGATCTCAATTGCACGTGTTCACTTTTCAGAAGTGGGGGGTTGGGGCTTCACACTAAAGGCGAGATTCAGGTGGCTGGGTGCCTCAAGGGGTTAACAGCAGGTCAGATGGCTGGGCTGGCACTGCTCATGTCCACCCAAGGAAGAACCCATGGGGAGATTTAAAAAAAAACAAGGTTCAAGGGTAGCGAGAGACAACCGTCTCATCTCCGTCATCGAAGGCGGAAAAAATTAAATAACACGATGACCCTTCGTATTAAATTCGCCTGTTCCATTAATTCACCGTAGTGTTGGTGGCGCGGTGGTGCGATGGCCACGCTGCAATAGACCAAAATCGGACGGAAATCGCCGATCAAAGAGACGTGCCCGTGTCGGGAAGAAGTTTGGCGTGGCAGTTGGAAATCGATCCAATCCCATCGGTTGGTACGGCGTCACGTGACACCCCCCCCCATCGCCCTGTTGTTTGATTGGCTAATATCCGCACGATGGGCGAATTTTCTCGGGAGTGCGTTTTTTTTGTTATCCAGCGCCAACCTCGCGCGGGTTAGAGAGCCAATTGATGGGATTTCAGAAGTGGCTCTGTGATGTCCCTGACAAACGTCGTCGTCGCCGTCATTGCTGCGCCGACTGCCGCGAGGGTTTCGAACGTAAACGGTTTTGTACCGCGAACTGAAGCGGTTCGTGCAAAAGGAATTGGGGAAAAAATATAAAACCTAAGCCTCACGCATTATCTTGACATGACCCTTGTAGTGTCACTTTATTAAAATAATACGAGCCTTTGTAGTGTAGTATTATTATTAAAATAGGTTAGCAATATTAATGGCAATTATGTGTTCGTGTATACTGTATAGTTACGTATTCTGTTTAATCCTGCAAGTGAAAATTCCTTGATCTATATAATCCTAGTATAGTAATGACACTTTACATGGTAGCCACTAAGAAATAAGGCCTTGAAGCAAAAATAAAAACCATTTAGATGAGAACCAAATATTTGCGTGCGTTCCGAATTCATAGTATGGCCCTTTCGTTATATACTTTTAAAAAAACACCTCAAAGTAAATAACAACAAAAAACACCTAAAAGTAAACTACAAAAAGTAAACACCAATACAATTTGTGTAAAAAGTAACCGACTCGTAAAATGAGAAAAACTGTAACAGAGCAAACACGCGGCAAGGATAAAAATTTGCGTGTCCAGGGTGATTGCATTCCTTACCAAGGCTCAACTCAACCATTGCAATGCCCCAAATACAGTCTGGCCAAGGAGACCTCCCCACTGGCAGCTGTCCCTGGGTGGCGTAAGGCTGTACACGCAGCAACGGCCTGCAGCAAGTGGGCATTCAGTCTGCCAGTCGGGGGATGACGTGGTTTAAGGACAATTTTGGATCTTTATACGCATTTTTCGGACCGCTTATATTACGTCATCATTTCACGTTTTCTTCGCGCGAACAAAAGTGAGGAAACCCGATGTCATGTTACACCACTTTTGGTGGGAAAAGCATGGAAGTGATGTAATATAAGCGAGGTCATGTCCTGTGATGTCATACTTCCTGATCGACCAGTTTTTAGGATCATCCAAAATGTCATATCTCGGCCTGATTTTGGGATTTTTTTGTTATGAATTAAAAAAAAAATTGGCATCACATCCAAAGTCTACAAAGTATAGATATTGGCAAGGGTGTGACATACGAACTTCGTTACATTTTGAGGCAAGGACCCCAGCATTGCCTGGGCGGTGTGGTTTGTTGAACTTTGGCCCATTGTTAGTCTGCGAGCATTTTCAGCACTGGCATTGGGGGACTCCCATCTCTCAGCTCTTACCACGATGCTGATCATCCGAGGCAGAGGACCTTCAAAAACCACACGGGTGAGGGCAGAACTGGCTGCAGCAATGTCCCTCGGGTTGCCCTGCAAGGGAAGGCTCAGACTCGAGTGTCAATAGCTCAAGTTCCAGCGGCTAGGGTCACCGGGGCTGGGCGGGGGTTTCCTTCTGAGCTTCATTTGTCTCTGGAATTTGGCGCCGAACTCCGAACTGCAAGAGAGTAACACACAAGGGCAAAGGGGGAGTGAGAGGTTTGTGAATTACTTGTCCAAGCTGTAGAGTCCAGCCAGAGCGCATCAACAAACATCGGCTGTACTCTCCCTCTTCTCGAGTTTGCAGCTTGATCAGAAAGGGTGTCTTTGTCGTGGTGCTGTTCTGTTGGGGAGCGGTGGTGCAGCAGTTACCGTGCTGCGCGACCCGAGTCTGATTGCCACACTTTGCCAACACAGCAGCACCACAGATTAGCACGGGTGGCTACGTACGGGAGACAAAGGCGGCTGGGCGTGGTGACGGCCACACCACACCGATATGTGCTGTGCCAGTTGTCATAGGTGCTCGCCGACAGCACTTGCCCCAACAGCTTATGTAGGATATACGGGGGCGAGGTCTTTGTCTTTGTGGGTATCATTCCCATGATGCACTAAAGCAAAAAAAATATATCTTTCACATTGGCGTATTATGATGTAAATTATATTTTATTCTCCAAAATATATTTCAATATCATTTTACAACGTGACAAAATGAGAACACGCTGGTGTTCATAATTTATTTAAACAGATCCAGGTCGAAGAATGTGAAGATTAAGAACCCAAACATGGAAACCCTAGAGACGTAATTAAACAGGGAACACTTCACAACGTTTAGTGTAAATGTATACTTACATAGAGCTTCACATTTGTCAATGTTATTCCATGCGATCACACTTATACCGACTCTCATGTATAACATCATGGGTTCTGTGATGTCTATTTTCCAGTCAGCTTTTGGCAATACCAAGCCCTGGAAAGTCGAACAAGAGACCAAAAATGAACGCTTGGCTAGGGGCAAATTGGTCGGACAGCTCAACTTGGTGGACTTTAGAGTGAGCCCACTGCATGGCAGAGCCAACTCTGCATTAATCACTATCCTTCCCCCGCACCTAACATGGTTGACTACGTACGTGGTGTGTTCAACGCACAGTAATAACCATGGCATAGATCTCTCTTTTTTTTCCAACGACGCTGCCGCGGTGTTGCGCTTTGCACGCTGGGGACTTGCGAACTGGAGGGCTGCCGGCTCGGTTCAATCTCCCGGCGCGGCAGCTGAAACAGCGCCGCGGAATCAGCCCACGATGCCGGCCTCCTCTCTTCCTTCTGACATTAAGCAGCCACCAGAGCCATGCCCAACATCTGGCCAATTGGAAGAGTAGGCCAAAACACCCTCGAGTGGAGGTCCTTCCGCAAGCTAGTGACGTCAGAAATCAATTGCAGGACTTTACCTTTAAACTTTTAGTTCTCTAATTAAATGTTTCAATGCTTATTTATGGTTCCATTTCAGGTTTTACGATTTAATATGCATTATAAAATTGCACTGACGCATTCTTTTCAAACGGAATTTTCTCTGGAGCTAGATTTACACTTTTTGGAATTTGCTTTCAGTTTCTCGCCGTACCTATCCAACGCAGGCGGGACACTACGATCACCATCACCGGTGACGACCTTGCCGTCGCGTGGCCTCCCCTCACATCGCCGCTGCGGTCAGCAAATACAACTCTCACCCATGCACTGACCTCCACTGGAGGCGGGCGGTGGTGGCAGACGGTGCTGTGGACGGAGCTCCTGCAACGACGGGCGTCCGTGGAAGCCTTGCGCGGAGGGAGGAGGATGAGGCCCGCGGATTCCTTGCCACGGTGGTGGTGCAAACGGCCCCTGGGACGGAGGTGGCATGCGGGGTGCTTGGGACAGGGGCGGGCTCTGCGGTGCTTGAGAATGCTGAAGTTGTGATTCGGCATAAAGGTGAGGAGGTTGCCCAGGAGGTCCTTGTGGAGGACGGTGCCCAGGATGCCCTTGGGACGGAGGTTGGCCCCGAGCTCCTTGGGGTGGAGGATGTCCCGGATGACCCTGAGAGGGATGTTGCCCAGGAGGTCCCAGCATTGGGGGCTGCCCAGGAGGTCCCTGAGGAGGAGGACGTTGCCCAGCAGAACCCTGGGGTGGATGTTGACCGGGGGCTCCTTGCCACGGCGGCGGTGGATTGCGGCGCCCTTGGGACGGCTGCGAGTCGTACGGCACGAGGGGTTCCGGCGGCGCCAACTGCCCTTGAGCCGGAGCCCCGGGGGCCCCTTGCGGTGGTGGAGGGTAAAACTGCCTCTGCATCGGAGGGGGACCGCCGCTCGGCGCAGGAGACAGAGGCGGTCCGTACGGCGCCGCCGGCGGCGGTAGACCAGGCCCGGGCGGCCCTCTCAACGCTCCGTTCTGCGACGCCGAAGCGGCCGCGGTCGGGCCCGCCGGCCGCTGCTGCTGCGGAAAACCGTACGCCGCCCGAGTCGACGGTGGCGGGGTGCCCTGGGCGGAGAGCGGCGACGTCTGCGGACCGCCGCGCGGCCCCGCCTGGGCCGGCGGGATGTGCTGCCCCCGAGGGGGAGAGTGCCGGGGGTACGCCGGCTCGTGGGGCCCCGGCGGCGGGGCGGCGTGGCCGTGCGGAGCTCGCAGCTCCGGCGGTCTCCCGGCCGGAATGGGATTCTGCGTCGAAGAAGCGTCCGTGAGGGAACGTACTTTCGGTAACAGGCCAGGATATCCGTGACCGTAATAATCATCATACTAAATTAGTACATTTGGTGTTTGTGACGTTCTCGCAGCGCGGGCAATATGGAGTAAAAAAATCGGAGCATTTTCCCTGCTCAAAATGAGCGTGGCACGGTGCTCATCGGAGTTGATAATTACATATTCCGAGAGCAACAGTGGACATTTCTAACGGAACACCGCTGTTGGTTTCCCCACGAAGAGGTACATGCTTTATCGACCCAGATGGACGATGGGCTGAATTGGTGTTGAATGGACAGCTTCCAGCATTACGCGTTGCGATTAGGTGTGGCAGTAGCAAAAACATTTGATAAGGTCAGTGCCACAGATTATTTTTCCTTGTGTTAAGTTAAATCAAAGTAAACAAAAGCACGTTGTTTTTTTAAAAACATGCCTTCAACAAGGATGCTTGGAATACGTCTTTGTGTGAGGAGGCCATTATGTTTATCTGGCAGCATATATGGTAGCTATTACTGCGCATATAAAAATGTACAGATTAAAGCAATAAAATCTTTATTGTTATGCTCACATCCATACGAGAATTGATAAATTACTAATTATATTAATTCTCCACTCATGATCCAAACCAAAATGTATAAATGAGATGGGGGGATGGGGGGGGGATGGGCAAAAAATAAAACACAAATTAAACGGTAAAAACGTAGACAAATAATTGATCCTCGGCTCGTGTCACCACCGTGAACCGTGACAGTGAAGCCACCCAATTACAAACCCAAGCGATCGCTCGCAAGAAATGCCTTGGCAAGTACACAGCAAAAGGCTCAACTGAACGTGGCAAATTGGTAACGGGCTGTAAGCGGTAACGGCGGTTCGTAATTTCCCAAATAAAAACACAATGGAACTGAAATGTGGCCGTCGCGCGGACGAGCCGAACGAGGCCTCGGGTTAGCGATTCGCCGCCGCGCAGAAATTCGCTCACGTGAAGGCCGTCGGTGCTGTCCAGGGGTGACGAAGGCCCGTTATCTGCTCCAGGTTGGAGGGGGGAATTATGGGATGAAAAAACGGAACAAGAACAGCGAATTAAGTTCCCCCCACCCCCCACCGAATTAAACAAATGTTCGCCGTTGAAACCGAACCGGTGTTAGCGGCATCCAATAAACAAAAATGCAAACGAGACGGAACAAGCGGAGAGTGGTGCACAACAGTAGCAGCGTGAGAGAAATGCCCTCGTGGGAAATTAGACGAGGAGAGAGGGCAAAAGGAACGCGTGGGATTGGAGAACGAACGCAGGTGAAAGACACTCGGGCTGTCATTGTCGGGAAGGGTAAGCAGGGGACACGTCACGGGGTGGGAGGGTGTCCGGTGGGCGAGGGTAACGGTGGAGTGGCAGCAGCCGGACGAGGGAACGTGACCAACAGGACGAACGCCACGGAGACGGAGCGATGAATCCGCCTCGCGTGCACAGCAGCTGCCGGGTGGATCGTTGCATTGCAGGACCGTGAGAGGGATGGTGATGGCTTGGGGAGGCATTCGACCAGCAGTGGATTGATCATGACTGCTAATGATGAAGAAAACCCAGAATGGCAGCCAGACAACAAGGGGGTGATCAAAGGGGAGATGGAGCGACACAACCAGGCTACACAAGCCAGCGGAACCGCATCGTCAGCGGGCCAGAGGGAACGACTGTCAGGGAATCTACAAGAAGTCTTCATGCAGAAGTTGATAGAAAATGGTCGATGGCGACAACCTTGCTGGTTGGTGGCAACGCTAAATTATTTAATGTTTGTGATGAGAGGCAGTTCTATCATTAATTCCTTCATTCATTTGACATGTAACTGATAACCACCCTTTTGCTTCAATGTACACATCTGGTATAAATAAAATATTCGCCCCTGTCCACCGAGAACAAAGAGCAAATGCTGAAAAATCAAGAAGATCATAAGTAATGTATGAGCGTGATTCAATAACCAAATACATTCTATAAGCCGCTATATCTACTAAACTGTGGCTAACAGTGACTGGGACAATCCTTGTATTTGTGTGAATTTTTTTAAAAAAACAGCTTTTTGTTTGTTCCACGACCGACGTATTGCGCAATCAAAAGTGGGAGCACCCTCGCATAAGTGCAGGAAAACATTCCTATTTTTGTTCGTGGCTTCACATATTTGTAAGACAAAAAAAACCCCACACGTTTCAGCTCTGTCTTCCAAAGGTACTTCTTGCTCGCGCGATTGGTCATAAACACGACGAGTCACGTTGCTCCTTGCCACCCAAATCACGGCGTATTTAGAGGGGGAGAAAAAGCAGTGGATGGCGGCTGCTAAAGATTGTAATGTTGAAACGGGGTGGGGCGGGCGGGGGGGGGAGGGGAAATCTTGAAAAAATTATGGAAGTAAATGACCACCTTCTGGTGTAAAGGCAATGACAGCAAAGGCAACAGAGGAGCGGAGTAAAAATTCAACGGAAGGCCACAGAGCAAGAGGGCTTGGGCTCGGAGGGAGGCGGTGGTGTACCGGCCGCTCGTGGGGTGCGGCGGGGCTGCCCCGGGGCCCGCGTCGGCCCTCGCCGCGGCTCGTCCGTCAGCATGGGAGGCGACGGCGGGCCGCTCACCGGCGACGACGTAAACGACGAGCCGTCGCGCAACGACGCTCCTGCCGAGGGGGGGGGGGGGGGGGGGGCGGTGGGGGCGTGAGGGCCGAAACGTGGCTCGGCGGCCTCGCTCGCGCCACTTCGGCGGGAAGGGCGTCCACTGGGAGTAGCTCTCGAGAGCCCCCTTCTAATTTCGTCTGCTCTTCCACACAGGCCATGGTGTCTTGCAAGAGGGTTCCTACTGAACTTCATCTGACCGCACACAACCTGCCTGTCGGCTGTCCCGTGTCACCCCAATTAATGCTGCTGGGTTGGACACGGATGGGCGTTGTGGTGGTGTCACCGCCACAATCTGCGTCATAAAAAGTGCTCGGTCGCAGCACTGCCAGGACTGGGGATGAATCCCCCGATTTTTGGATTAAACCCAAAGCGATGAGTAAGCGAGTTAGTATCTCTGTGTGTCAGTACCACCAGATATTGCAGCGATGAGTAAGCGAGTGAGCACCTCTGTGTGTCGGTACCACCAGAGGCTGAAGGGGCAGCCCTCTCTGAAAGTCCATCTGGTAGGTCGGTGGCCTATGCAGCAGGGCAAGCTTGAGTTCAATATCCGACATCCTAGGTCAGACAAAAAATGTACGTGGAGTCAAGCGACACAAACAGTCAGAGACACACACATACACAGTCAGAGTAGATGCATCGCTGCACGCCTAACATTTTAGCAACGACAAACATCGCACCGTACCTTTACACACACACTGTTTTTTTTAAAACTCCGCAACACCGCCGTGCAGAATACCGCTAATTCCTCCGTCCCACCACCCCGTCCGTGGAGTGGCGGTTGCAAGCCTTAACGTGTGCCGACCATCTCAACGAAGTCTCATTTGTGCCTTCTTGTATTGTAACTTCTAGGTCTGGACTGTATTTAACAAAAAGAAAAAATCTTATTTGAATAGTTGGCACAAATAGTCAAGCAAACAAGAAACGGACAGCGCTGTAAGTCCCGTGCACCGTCACATCTACAGTACTGTATGGTGGTGGCCTGGAGTTGCTCATCCAGCGCAGGAAACATGCCATGGGTAGTGGCACTGATGGTGATGATGATTGTAGTTATGTTCAATACTGTCGTACGAGAATTTGGTCCATGCCATTTTAAAGAAACTCACCTCTCCTTCAGGGTGGCAACTTCCTTCTTGGAAGCCACCATCTCCCTCTCAGCCGTGCGAGCTTTAAGCTGAAACACAACAAAGTTTTAGAATGACAGAACTGGGTCGCTTGGCCCCGAGGAAGCGAGTACCTCTGAGTGAGTACCTCTGAGTAACCTCTGAGTGAGTACCTCTGAGTGAGAACCTCTGAGTGAGAACCTCTGAGTGAGAACCTCTGAGTACCTCTGAGTGAGAACCTCTGAGTGAGTACCTCTGAGTGAGAACCTCTGAGTGAGTACCTCTGAGTGAGAACCTCTGAGTGAGTACCTCTGAGTGAGAACCTCTGAGTGAGAACCTGAGTACCTATGAGTGAGTACCTCTGAGTGAGTACCTCTGAGTGAGAACCTCTGAGTGAGAACCTCTGAGTGAGTACCTCTGAGTGAGAACCTCTGAGTGAGAACCTCTGAGTGAGAACCTCTGAGTACCTCTGAGTGAGAACCTCTGAGTGAGTACCTCTGAGTGAGAACCTCTGAGTGAGTACCTCTGAGTGAGAACCTCTGAGTGAGTACCTCTGAGTGAGAACCTCTGAGTGAGAACCTGAGTACCTCTGAGTGAGAACCTCTGAGTGAGTACCTCTGAGTGAGAACCTCTGAGTGAGTACCTCTGAGTGAGAACCTCTGAGTGAGTACCTCTGAGTGAGAACCTCTGAGTGAGAACCTGAGTACCTCTGAGTGAGTACCTCTGAGTGAGAACCTCTGAGTGAGAACCTCTGAGTGAGTACCTCTGAGTGAGAACCTCTGAGTACCTCTGAGTGAGAACCTCTGAGTGAGTACCTCTGAGTGAGAACCTCTGAGTGAGTACCTCTGAGTGAGAACCTCTGAGTGAGTACCTCTGAGTGAGAACCTCTGAGTGAGAACCTGAGTACCTCTGAGTGAGTACCTCTGAGTGAGTACCTCTGAGTGAGAACCTCTGAGTGAGAACCTCTGAGTGAGTACCTCTGAGTGAGAACCTCTGAGTGAGTACCTCTGAGTGAGAACCTCTGAGTGAGAACCTCTGAGTGAGAACCTCTGAGTGAGAACCTCTGAGTGAGAACCTCTGAGTGAGTACCTCTGAGTGAGAACCTCTGAGTGAGAACCTCTGAGTGAGTACCTCTGAGTACTTCTGAGTGAGTACCGTGATACACGACAGCCAATGCAGGAACACAGCGGGGATCGCTCAAAAACAGCAATCATGAATGAGGGATTATATTTTGACTTCAAGCTTTTGTGACTGCAGGAATTCATATTCTTTGGGTCTTTCGTTAAAGTCACGTAGAGAGTCACGTTGAAGAGAAACAATAAAATATATAAAAACAATATAAAATTCTCACGACGTTTCGACCATAACATCACACCTGATGACGACCGTGTGTGTTATGGTCGAAACGTCGTGAGAATTTTTATTGTTTTATATATATTTTATTATTTTATTGTTTCCCTTCAACGTGACTTTACCGAAAGAGCTAAGAATATGAATTACTCCAGTCACGAAAGCTTTAAATCAAAATTTCACGTAGAGAGGTTTAAATTAATAAAAATAAAATGAAAAACTACACAAGCGGTCGTCACCCGCCTGACGACCGCGTGTGTAGTTTATTATTTATTTTTTATTCATTTGAACCTATCTACGTGACTTTACCAAAAGACCCAAAGAATATGAGGGATTATATATTTATATATGTATATCCGCGTCCCCGTGGATCAAAGTGAGCGAAGTGTAGAGAATGTTCAAAGTGTTTGAAGCACGCATTTAAAATGCAATTACTTTTTCAGGATTAAAGATAAATCAAGAAACTACGGGTAATTCCCCAACAACCAACGTCGTGAGAATTTTATTGTGTTATTTTATTATTTTATTCTCATTCTACGTGACTTTACCGAAAGAACCAAAGAAGATGAATTCTTTGATATTCTTAAAAAATGTTTTTTTTATGGTTTGCATTCTACTACTACTAGAGGCTGCCCATCGAAGTGACGATGGCTGTCTCAGAAGCTTGGGGAATTCGTGGTTTTGTTATCCTCTTTAATATGTTTTCTGAACGTGCGGTCTTTGTTATGCGCACGCGGGCACGGCCGTGACACGGATCCATCCCGCGGTGACCGCAGCGGTCAGACGACAAACGCCCTCTAAGTTCCGTTACACGCTACACAGTGCGCCGCCGTAGGTTTTTTTTTCGCGTGCATAAAATACGAGGCTGAAATGTGACGAGCAGCACGCGTGCACACACACGGACAAACCACGGTTGCGTCTCCTCGTGACGCCAATGAAAATTAAAAACCCGTCTTGCATTTGGCCAAAACAACTTGCTTTGCGACGAAGCTCCAACCCACCCCCCCCCCCCTTCCGCCCCCCCAGCGCTCATGCGCTACGAAGCGTCGGACCTCGTGCTGCACGTGCACGCGGAACGGACCCAGCGTCGGACAGCTCCGGCTCTCTCTGGTGCCGAGATGTTAACTCCCTAGCCTGGCATGCTGGGAGTATGTGGGTTCGATCCCGACCCAGACGCCGGGAGTTTGCTTATCTCTCTCTCTCTCTCTCCCTGTGGTCGTGTGGATTTTTCTCCGGGTACTCCGGTTTTTCCCTCCACATTTAGAATCAACGCACATTTGGAGTATGCGGCTGCTATAAATTTCCACATGACGAGAAGCCATTTAGTTGAGCTATCATTTGTGGTTAGGTCGCTTCTGAAAAAGAGCTATATAGCTCAGTGGGCCTTACCTGGTGAAATAAAAATAGTTGAAGAGTTTAAAAGTTCTGAGCAACTCTTCTCAGTAGACTTAGTAACTTGCTGACCCGCCCATACTGGGCATCTGTGAAAAAGAGCTTCAAAGCTCATCGGATTCCTCCGGGAGTCCAGATAAAGATTCAGATTCTAATCAAGTCCTCCATGATTTTTACACCCAGGAGGGGCCCTGTATTGGGAAGTTTGGTCAAATAACTGTGGGTCAGTGTGAGGCGCCGTGTGATAGAAATTGCAGAGAAACCTGGAGATAACCCACACACACACAGAGATGGTTAACACACAAAGCTCCCCACAAATGTATTCGAGACTCCAATTGGCAAACATCCCCCGACGTGACCAACCCACAGTCTGACGAGATTAGGCACGTTCAGGGCGATTCGGTCACAGACTTTGCGACACGCCGCCAATGAATGATCACAATTCAACGTGACGGTCTGTCTGTTTAAGAGCGTAGTCTTGAAGTACCCCGGTGGCTCACAGCAGTCAATCAATCAATCAATGGAGTGGAAGACAGCAGCATTCGCGCAGCCCACTCTGTTAAGCGAGAAAATCACGACGAATGCTCTCAGCGGGGTGACCGAACATCAATCATCGATCGTCCCGGTCTAAAAGAAAAAAAAATCAATCAACCTCTCAGCCAGAGCGCATGGGAAAGTGTGGCCCACCCACTAACCTCGCCTCAGCTGGGTAAAAAGGCCACTGTGGAAAAAATAAACTCTTTTCACAGTGGGCATACTTCCCGGCCGTCACCAATCTCTGCCAGTTTCCAGCAATACAGAGAGACTATGGGACACACACACATTAAAAAGCTTCCCAATGAACATTTGTAGGACGCCCATCGGGTATCTGCCATGCCAACTGCCCTCAAACGTGAGAGAGAGGAACTAACAACTCCCTGTCCCCAAACTAACGGGGACGCAAAGTAAAATAAAAACTATTTTATTTTTATTTTACCAGCTACGGCCCATTGAGCTACGTAGCTCCTTTTCAGAAGCGACCCAGGGCCACAAATGATAGCTCAACCAAGTAGCATCACATGGTGATGTGTAGCAGCCAAAAACTCTAAAACGCGTGATGCTGATTCTAAATGTGGAGGAAAAAAACCGGAGGACCCGGAGAAAAATCCACGTGACCACGGGGAGAGAGAGAGACACACGCACACTCCAAATATACAAACTCCAATTAAAAGGGTAAAACCTATTACTATATCTAGTTACTGGCAAAGGAGGTCTCATAATGTAAGTGCTCACCCCGAGCCCTCAGTACTCTGATAGTGCGCTGTTTTTTAGTTGTACGCCTTTTGGCGTCTTCTGGTCCAACACCAGTGGAGACTAGGCTCTAAAAAAAGCCGTCTCGGGTGTGGACCAATCAAATTCAAGGACAGTGCATATTATTATCAGAGTTGTCTCTTTTGTTTGCATTTTGACTGCTTGTGTTGTGGTTATTGCAAACATGATGCCTTGAATAAAGGTGTCAGTTTTTGTGCCAGTTAAAAGAGTAAAACCTATTACTATAAACTCCAAAAAGTTTGATTAGACAATTTGCAGATTCGTTACCGTCCATTAGGAACTAATGAATTGTCTCTAATTAGAAGTCAATTGGCGGTAATTATCACGAGCCATTTGCAATGCTAATGTATTGCTTGCATTGCACAAGCACCGCGCGAAATGTTATTTGCTTTTAATCTCAATTTCAACTTCAGGGACTGCAATGGCCATGCTGTAGAAGCGAAGGGGCGTTGTTGGTTCGCAATGATCGTCATAATCATCATCAACAACTAATGCCGCCTTAACGAATGTGCTTTACTCTTCTTGACAAGGGCGTCCCCCCCCACCCCCCTTCGGTTGAACGTGCGTTTTTTGGTGTATGTATGTATGAACGTTTAACTTTCTTTCGCACCGTACGCAGCCAACTGTGCTCAAAGCTGAACATGCCGTGAGCCCCAATGCCGAAAAAACACACCTGCAATTTACTCAACAGGGATTACACAGCAGCAGCAACCAGATCCCCTACGTCACGAAAAACGTGGCAGCATCGTCCTGAGTGTTGAGAACTAAGCAAGTCCTTTCCTGGCTAAACAAGTGTGGTGATAACCGTAATGACGGATTCTAATGTGGTCATGAATAAAAGGTAATCACTCTGTAGTAATACTAATCCCCTTTACTTGAGCAGTAAGCAAAGCTCTGAGAAAGTACCAAAATATGATCATAGGTTTTTCCCCTTTTATCTGGCAACAAAACAGGTGTTAAGACGTTAAAACACCAAACTGAAACCTTTTACAATGCCTACATTAGCCACAATGTTTGTGGTCAGAATGCAAACACAAAAAATGAGGTCCCATGATGTAGATGCTCACCCCAAGCTCTCATTACTCTGATAGTGGCATTGTCTTTGTGCTGTACGCCTTTTGGCGTCCTCTGGTCTAACACCGTTTGAGACGTGTGGCCCAATCAGTTTCAAGGACAATGCATATATTATCAGAGTATGTTTCTTGTCTGCATTCTGACCACAAGCATTGTGGTTAATGTAGACATGATTCCTTCTAAAAGGTTTCAGTTTGGTGTTTTAACATCTTAACACCTGTTTTGTTGCCAGATAAAAGGGGAAAAACCTATTATCATATTTTGGTACTGGCAAAGGAGGTCCCATGAAGTACAGTCCATTTTAATTATAGAAAGTGGTCATGTTAATTACAATGGTGTTAAAATACTTCCCCGTGTGTAAATTTGCTTTTTTTTATTACCGATGGCACGTGCCACACCAGTGCAGACCCGATGTGGCGCTCTTCAATAAAAAAAAATAAACCAATTTAAAAGTTTAAATCCCAGGGGATTAAGTCGCATTGAAAGCGAGCTACTTTTAAACATTTTTCATCAACAAATTGTAACCACAACCACGCGACTGTGGTTACAAACGTCCACAGTTGCCACATCCAGCAGAGCCTCACATCACGTGTGGGCGCGACTCCCAAAGGATGACACCATACTTCTACTCCGTGGCGTAGGGTGGTTGGCATTGGCGCTGGTTCAAGGATATGAAAAAGGGATGCCTGTCCGATGTCCCCCCCACCGTCACTCTTCGTAGCACGGTGACTGGGCTCCCCTAGCCTAGTGACTGGGCCCTCCTAGCCTAGTGACTGGGCCCTCCTAGCCTAGTGACTGGGCTCCCCTAGCCTAGTGACTGGGCCCTCCTAGCCTAGTGACTGGGCCCTCCTAGCCTAGTGACTGGGCCCTCCTAGCCTATTTCAAGTAAGCATCTGTATGGGTAATCGTGGGCCGGCAACACTTGTGGCCCCCTCCGGCCCTGCGTGCGTCAGATTGCACAACCCCCTGTGCATTTCGACAAGTCTGGCACCGCATCCCACTGCTGGGCCCAATGTCTCTGGAACAACGCAGCACGGAGTTTCTTCGTGCACAGTGTGGAGGGGGGGGGGGGGGAAGTAGGTAAAATTCGCTCCCCACGATTCGATCCGTGAAGCGATGCGATTTTGTCTCGTCGGCGCTCTCTCGTGCACATTGTTCGTCACTTTTTTGTTCCGTCGTCACCGTCGTCTCTCTGCGTGTTGTTGGGCGAAACGTAACGTTGGCATGCAAAGTTGAACACACCGCGGACGATCGTTCTTACACGCAGCTTGGCGCCATCTCCAGACGCTCCCGCTCGCGGAACTGCCGCCGCAAGGTTTTACGCGCGCGGCTCTCGGCGCCGAGCGTCTTCTGCGCCGCGATAGTTTTATTGCATTCATTACTTTGCCGGTGATTGGCACGAGAAAATTCCGCGGACCGAAACAAAAGAAACTTCTGGAATAAAAAAGGTCACGCACGGTGCCTCCAGACCACCAAGCTGCCACTCTGCATTACCAACTAAAAAAAAACACACGGGCACGCCAAGCGCGCAGACTTCTTACCCAATTTTCGTGAACCTTCTTCTCGTTCGTCGAAATCTGCAGCGAGAGGAAGGCAACATGAAAAGCCGTGCGAGCACGAGACAGCTCACACGGCGATCAAAGGGAATACCAGATCGAGCTCAAGCCACGTGGCAAAGCCGACACACGATCCTTACCTGATCTTTGTAATTCTTCTCCGTTTTGTTAAGCTCCTCGCGCAGGTCTTCAACTTTACGCCTTAAAAAAACGAGCGAAATCGGAGGTAATTTTACACGCCGTGTTGTCTTGCCGATACGGTTCGTACTTGTCTGTATTGTATGGATTAACAGGACATAACGGATTCAACATACATACAACTGCTCAACCCAATCTATAAATGCTTTGATACTTGCATTGCCTTTGTACTGGTCGCCTTTTTGCATTCTCTGGCCTGACACTGGTGGTGAGACAAGGCGATGAAGAAGGCTGTCTCTGGTGTAGACCAATCAAGCTTTAAAAAATACAATGCATTTATTACCAGAGCATGTTTTTGTTTAGATGTTCACCACAAGTAAGTGTGGTTGATGCAGACATGATTTATTGCAAGAGGTTTCTGTTTGGTGTTTGAACATCTGAACACCTGTTATATTGCCAGAAAGGGTAAAACCTATTCTTATACTTTGATACTGGCAAGAAAGGTCCCATGTTATTGTTTCATACTTTGATCTTGCAAAAAAAAGTCCCATAGACACACACACACACATAGATACACACACACATAGATACACACACACACACATAGATACACACACACATAGAAAACGTGGTCTTGGCTGAATAAAGGTAAAAACAGACAAAATAAATCAAGTCGTAGCACATTTGTGACTGAGCTGACATCATTAAGGGGATACGCCCGAGGACCTGCTTTAAGTGTTGGATGACTGCTGGGATTTAAGCCCCGCATCTCAGCAGTGCTGGCTCAGTGCTCTGATAACGGGCATTAAAAGTCTCCTCTACTTCCAGTCACCTCCACGGTGCCCGTTCATCACATTCTAAAAATAGATTACAGTTACGTGAAGGCCTCCGATGCATTGCCACCCTTTCCATTCAATTAATTATCAGGATTTGGGTGTAATAATTCAAAAGCGTTTTATTTTTTATCTTTACACTTTGGTGCATAGTGCCACCTCTTACGGCTGCAGGGGCCCAGCGAACTAATTACGTACACTATATATAATAACAACGTAATGTACAGCTCTTGGCTAGCCACTGCTGCATCAAGTGCTCCCCATGCAGTGTTGGTCACGGGGGTTTGTTTTTGTTTGACCATACTTCACCGTGCAGGTCAGTGGAGGTGGTGAAGGAGGGGGGGGAGCCCAGGACAGGTTGTGATATCACTCGACACAGATGTTACTCAGGTTGCCAGGTGCACGGTGCAGTCTGTTCACCACTGCGCCACCGTTACGTGCCAAAGCAACCACTAATATTGAGAGGAAATAATGAAACTGCTAAAATTATGCGTTAGTCACAATTTCAGTGAACCATTTGGTGTAGTGATACATGCTGGTATCAGTGATAGGCAAATTGTATACTTTTTCTTTTAATCGGACCAATCGATTGATTGAAACAACATAAAAAAAATGTTGTCTTAACAGCCAACGGACGCAGCCCGACCACTGGCAGACATTTACGTGCGGTGTTTTAGCAAGGGCGACTATCCGCAAGCACCAGGCACTGGTGTCAAATCAACAACATTTCCAGAAGGCTCACTCGGGACACATGCGAGCGGGCAGCCCCTGCCTAGAGCTCCACCCACTTTTACTTAGCCACGCCCCCACAACCGCTAGCCCCCCTCACACCGAGCGGCCTGACATTGGCCCCTCCCTCCTGTTTGCAGGCCCTGCCTACTCTTGTGCCAGCTACGCCCGCTTCTCAGGTTGCCTCCACCGACGACTAACGTAGCCCCGGCCCTTTGCCCACTTCACAAGTCAAGCGCCAAGTCACGACACTTTCAAACCCGAGAGACGAAAGTCTAAGTTTTCACAAACGCTTCCATTCAGGACATGGGGGAGGGGGCAGCCTTTGTGAAATGAGAACCGGTCCCGGCGAAATCAGTAGGCTTTGGTCTCTTAAAGGTCGGGGGGGGGGGGGGGTAGTAGCAGGTCCCACTGAGCGTCTCCGCGTGGACCACGCAAGCCGCTGCCGTACCGGTGGATGCTGGCGTCCTCTATGGCCTTGAGGACACGCTCGTCCACAGCCGACAGCTTGCCCTTGTTCTGTTCGCGGTGGGTCTCCTCCAGGGTGAGCTTCCTGCTCGTCGCGGGGACGGTGGAGGTGGGGGGTGATGGTGGGACCACAGAACGTAAGTACAGTCCATTCTCCTTTAACACGCAGTAGTAACTGCGTTCTGGAAGAACACTGCGTTTTAAGAAATAATACATAGGGAATAAAAAGCACGGTCTGCAATAACACGTGAGATGCGTACGCAGGCTGTACAAAGACCGAGGCATGTGGGGAGCATCCAGAAGCAGCATCCAGCAGTATCCCCGGCCTTGCGTGATGCTACACCGAGGCAGCCGTACGACCGCTATTCCTACTCGCGCGACGTAGTTCCGTTCACTCAATCGCGTTCTATCCAATTCGCATCCGCGTTACGAAAAACGTGTTTCCTAATACATTAATCGCGTCATATATCCAATTCGCGTTATGAAAACCACACGGCGTTATAGAAGAACAGGCTGTACACGTGCGTGGGTTTAACTTCAATCACACCAATACGTAGACAACCGTGCTAACTGGGAGGTGTTTAAAGTGGAAAACCGAAAATCGAACACGAAGGGGGTTGCGTGTGGCCAGGGCCCCGTTACCTCTGAAGCTTCACCTCCTTCTCCTCGTACATCTGCTTCACCATGTTCAGCTTCTGCTTGCAGCGCGCGAGCTCCTCGCACAGATTGCCCTTCTCCGCCGCCAGGCTCGCGTTCTTGTTCTCGTAAGCCTCCAACGTCCCTGGCATTTCAACAAAGACGAGAATGAGTCGCCTGCGCAAATAAATAACAAACCCAACGATTGACAAATCGCAAACCGTATCATTAATGGGAACGTGGAATTCTCACCACCGGCTGTGGTGGCGAATGAGCGCTGCGATCAATCGCTCATTTGATACGGTTCACTTCATTTTGCTTTGGGCACGTGTTGAGAAGAGACCAAGAAGATGCAATGAGAAGGGCTGTGGAGACCCGTGGCTGAGAAGAGTTTGTGGAGATTAGAGACTCACAGACTCACACGGAGACCCACGGATGAGAAGAGCTGTGGAGATTACAGACTCACAGACTTACATGGAGACCCACGGATGAGAAGAGCTGTGGAGATTAGAGACTCGTACTCACACGGAGACCCACGGATGAAAAGAGTTTGTGGAGATTAGAGACTTACAGACTCACACGGAGACCCACGGATGAGAAGAGCTGTGGAGATGCCACAAAGTGCAGTGTAGGAGGAGGAGAGGGAGACTGAGGATGAGAGGGTGAGAGGGAGACCGAGGGTGAGATGAAGCGAGGATGCGTTGGAGCAAGGTACAAGGAGAGCAGGTGTGATGAGAGATGAGGCACAGCACGGAAGCTCACGGAGAAAGAATATCTGAGCAAACGACACCAGGCTGCATTTCGTACACGCAAGCAAACTCATTCTTGAGATTATCCACAAGGAGACAGAAAACATCACGCAACATTGAGCTGTTGTGCAGCACAGCTCCCCAGCAGCTCTGCGGAGTGGAGCGTGTTGGTAGGGCAGACTCTACTACCCTCTTCTTGAGAGTGGGCCATGTTGCTAGGGTACACTCTACTGCCCTCTTCTGCACAGTGAGCCATGTTGCTAGGGTAGACTCTACTGCCCTCTTCTGCAGAGTGGGCCATGTTGCTAGGGTAGACTCACTGCCCTCTTCTGCAGAGTGGGCCATGTTGCTAGGGTAGACTCTACTGCCCTCTTCTGCAGAGTGGGCCATGTTGCTAGGGTAGACTCTACTGCCCTCTTCTGCAGAGTGGGCCATGTTGCTAGGGTTTACTCTACTGCCCTCTTCTGCAGAGTGGGCCATGTTGCTAGGGTCGACTCTACTGCCCTCTTCTGCAGAGTGGGCCATGTTGCTAGGGTAGACTCTACTGCCCTCTTCTGCAGAGAGGGCCATGTTGCTAGGGTAGACTCTACTGCCCTCTTCTGCAGAGTGGGCCATGTTGCTAGGGTAGACTCTACTGCCCTCTTCTGCAGAGTGGGCCATGTTGCTAGGGTAGACTGTACTGCCCTCTTCTGGAAAAATGCAATGGGCGCAGCAATACAACCGGATTGTTGGAAGTTGGCAGCAATCCAGTGCGTGAAGATAACACGGCAGACGATAACAATGAATCCATAAAACAGTAAAACCTTGGATTGCAAGCATAATGCGTTCCGGAAACGTGTTTGTAATCCAAAGCAATCGTATATCAAAGCACTCGCATATCAGTTGTGATCACGTGACGCTCGGCAGACAAAGGGTATACGTACTGCTAGTATTGCAAGACCTCGCTCGTTATCAAATTAATATTTTGTTAAAAATTTTGCTCGTCTTGCAAAACACTCGCAGACCAAGTTACTCGCAATCCAAGGTTTTACTGTATAGATGTTGTGGGTTATATCGGGTAAATATAAATGTGTCGTTAAACCTGCCACCACCCGACACAGCCAATTAGTAAGGTTTGTCACGTAAAAGGAACATGCCAATTTGTTACACGTACAGCACACCGGTGTGTTGGAGAGCAAATCCACAACATTTCCAATCGGAGTACGACGTTTCGCCAGTAATACAACTAGCATTATCAGGCGGACAGCCAGATCTGTGGAGAAATCCTCCTGTTTCATTCCTTGAATAGAGGGATAGATGTGATGACGTGACTTGTGAGAGGCATGAATTTAAACAATGTATTATTTGATGATTCACTTCCAAGCGGAACTAAGCCTGTAGCTATCCAAACGGTTATAATTATTTTTCTTTCTCTCAATTCCCATAGATTATCTAATTAGTCTTCACCAGTAGTAACTGGTTTTGCACAGAACTTGCACAGAACATATTATGGATGATATTGGTCGTGAAAGCCCACGTGTTAAATAACAAACGCCTTTGTGTTCTCTGGGTAATGTAAAATGCCAGCGACTGCTCTGGCAGCTTGCACATTCGTAGAGGATGAGCGTGTTTAAACCATGAAAAACATTCTCAATGGCTAAGCAATCTGGTAAGGTAGCTCGGCGGGACATTGAGCGGCTTGCAACCGGAAGGCCGTGAGTTCAAATTATGTTTGGGGGGGGGGGGGCGGTTGACTCAGGCCATCATGCTTCTGGGGTCGATAAAGTAGGTACCCGCTTTGAACACGGGACGTTGCGCGTTCTCATCGTGCCGCCGTGCGCCCGCTCACCTTCCAGCTTGTGCGTGGCGGCCACCTCGTCCCGGAGAAGGGATCCGTACTCCTCGATCTCCTCCTCAACCACCCTGAGCATCACGTTCACCTGGGCAAGCGCGGCCTCATTACCGTCTCGGATTTCAACGCGCAACGACGCGTTTGCATCGTTCAACCAATGACGTACACGTACGTACGTACGTCATCGGAATGAAATAAGGGTTCAAGCAGCCGGGCTCATGAAAAGGCGCTCTACTTTAGAACCGGCTTCGAGCGCTGGTAAAATCATGGGATTTGGATCCATGAATATCGCAGTACGTGAACACGTGGGCACATGTAATCACTCACCTTGGAGACATCCATGAGTTCTTGAAGTTTCTGTTTCTGCTTCCGTTTTTCAGATTCTGCAGTGATAAAATGGAACACGAGTTAATTGTGAACGTTCATCAAAAACATTCAACGAACGCCGATCGTACGGTGACGGTTCTTGTAATGGCATGACAGACAGTTATAGGCTGCCTGGAAACTTTACCCTTGAGAATATAAAATAATGACAATTTGCAAGCGACAAATGAAAAGCAGATAGTGCGTATCGCTAGATTGTTCTGGCTTCAGTCACGGAATTACAGGTATCTCCTAACCACCCTGGCACTGCTTCGTGCTCTTTAACGACTCGTTTACAGAGCTGAGCTCGTCTGAAGTTTAAGAGATACATTTTTATTGCAATTACTGATAGTCTTGAAAAGACCATCGATGTACTTTCAGAGAACTTGAGAAAGTGTTAAATTAACTATTACTGTTCAATTATTTATCGTCACACCTATTAATACGTCGCTTAACGATTCATAATGGTCACACGATCAGCCATGCACAGTGCCATGACCATACTTGCGCTAGAATATTTTTTGCCTGCAGAAATTCTCGAGCGGAAATCAAATTGCACTCCAGTCCACTTTACAGGCGGTGCCAGGCCCAGGTTGCTTTCTAAATCAAGACTTAAAAACTCATCCAAAGAAAAAACTGCTGTTTGCGTTTGATTTGTTGTCCCTCCCCCGCACCTTATGTTGGCACGTTAGCTACGAACGGTGTGAAAGATCGACACACATACGGTGCTGTGTGCATGGGCGGTGTTTGGTTTTTTCAAACTTTGTTTCCTTATTTGTTTCTTTTATTGGGAATCGTTGACACGCGAGCCCATTACAAAGCACCGATCACAATACAACCGGGGCGGGGTTAGAGAAACTCTCCTCCGCGCAAGCAAAAATCAGAGACCGGCGTGCCAGGGGCTTAACGAGAGAGGGGCGGGGGGGGGGACATTCGGGCTCACCGCCCCACGTAAGTGGGAACAGCGGGCGAGAGCGTGAAAGCTTAATACGGGGAGGGGAGGACGAGGGGACACACAACCAAATCCGTTCCCTTAAGGAAATTGAACGTGAAGGTCACTCGTACCATCCAGACTTTCCGAGTCCACTCCGAGGTCCTTGAGCTGGTTTAGGCACGCGGTCATGGCCTGCGACAAAAACAATACGCTCGTCATCATGATTAGAACAACAACAACAGCCGTCGTTCGTGACGACTAAGTGGCGGTGACGTCACCACGGCGCCTGTGCCAGGACAGGTGCACTCCGAGGAGGTCATGGGTCAGGCCCACGTGCTATGGGTTGGCTGACTAATTAATGAATTGAAACCGAGCCTTACGCTGATGATTTTTTGTGTTTAGCTTGTTGTCCTTCTCCCCCACCTCCAATTAACATGGTTGGCTACGTACGGTGCAGAATTAAGTTGAACGTACGTACGTACAGATGATATGCATCGGATTAAACAAGAGTGCAGCAATTAGTCCAATAAATTGGGGGAAAACGGAAAAGTAATACAAACGAGGGGACAATGAACTCGCTTTTAAATCGAATTGCCAACCTAAATTGTGACAGTTCGTCAACTCTTTGTGGGGAGGTGAAAATGACCCCCAACTCTCACGACACCAGAGCCTCACGGTGACCCTCCGGCCCAGGAAGAATGAGGAGCCAGCAACTAATTCTTGAACCCTTTAAATAACGCCCCTCTCTTAACAAACTTGAGATGGCCCTCCTAACGTGTCTGTCCAAAGTAGTTCACTGCACATCTGCCACGATACTAAAAGTCCTTCCCTGGCTGGTGCTTTATTGGTAACCTTGTGCCAGGGATTTAAATTCCACATTTCTATGGCAGAAACCAGTTCATTTCCATAGTACAGTCACCCTTGACTATCCACCAAGTGGGACTAATTTTATTGACTTTTTGTGCAGTCATTGGCAACTGGACTGAAACAATTAATTTGCTCGACAAGATAAACTTGCACTTATCTTGGGTGAGTGCCTAGGAATCTAATTAGGTTGGGAGGATGAGCCGTTTAGATCAATCAATGAGCATTTACAGAGCAAGCCATCGATTCAGATTACCTGTGTCCATGGACCCACCAAACCCATTAATTATATTAAAATGTGGATAACTTAGCTAGATCTTCCACAAAAGTTAGATTCTTTTGAAAATATTACTTAGTCGAAGTCAATATATTGTTTAATTATTACTGTAATTATTAATTATTATACATTACTGTAAATTGTCATCCTTAACGAGGAAAGTTTTGATCGGCATAATATTGCCAGTTACAACATACTGATCAGATACATGGCCAACGACAAAGCAAACAGAACAAAAGTTAAAATTGTAAATGTCGTGGATTAACTCTCCAAACACACCGGTGTGCTGAAGCAGTAACGAATTGGCAAGTTTCGTTTGCGTGACAAACCTTACTGATTGGTTGTGTCGGGGCGGTAACGGTGGCGTGTTAACGGACACGTTTACATTCACGCGATCGAACCCAAAAGAAAACCTTTCATTATGACTGCTCGCATTTGTTGAGCTGCCAGGTCTCCTCACCTCCACCTCATTCTGCTTGAAGGCCACGGCCTCCTCCAGGCTCTTCTGCGTCTGCCTCTCCGCGCGCAAGGTCTCCGTCAGCTCCCCAACCGACGTGTCGCAGAGCTCCACCTCCTCCTCAAGCTGCACATTCAACGGTCAAGACGTCCACGAAACGGGCTCTCGTCAGTCCGAGGTCACAATTCCAAATCGGGAATCTATTACTACCTTTCAATCACGTTTTTACTCTTGTCCTTCGCCGTTATATTTTATTGGCCCTACCCTCGTCGGTCATGCATTATTCGCTCTGCTTCTCCGAAGCTTGCATCGGCACGTAATTTGCTTACGTTGAAAGAAAACGTTAATTTCATACATGCGACTCGATGCGTGTAAGGATCGACACGTTGGGTGAACGTTGAACTTCTTTTGCACCATACGTGGCCAACCGCGCTAAATCGAATCATTTCACGATTACCAAACATACAAGCGCTCGCAAAGCGTGCTCTCCTCACCCGTAACAGACACCGGGCACCTTGAGAGAAACTATACGCTCACAAATTGCACCATTTGCCAGAAGCCTGTCCCGAAGGGTTGTGTTTAAGCGTCCACGTGCGCGCTGCGAAAACACTGTGCTACTGCCTGTAGCCGCTGGGGTTTGGGAGACGAGTGGGAAACGAGCTAACGGCCTTGCGGATCAGCCCACCCGCCGGTTGCTGCGTTGCAGCTGCTCGTTCTCCTTCTCCATTTTGACCAGCTTGGCCTCCATCTTGTCGTTGTTGCTGTTGGCGGTTCCAACCCGAGACAGGACCTGCAATGGGGACAACAACAACAACAACAAGATGCCGCTTATCCACGGGATCCTTTTTGCCGGTATCAAGAGGATGAAAAAAAACGTAACAGGCTTTAGCCTTTACGGTTGGAAAAAAAGATAAAGCCAAAGATCCCCCCTATAGCCTAAACAGACTGTTGGGGCAAGTGCTGTTCGCAAGCACCTATGAATTCCGGCAAGGTACACGAGGGGGTGGGTGGCCAGCACCAGGCCCGACCGCCTTTGTCTCCCCAGTGGCGATGTTTATACACTGCACCGGGGACTCATTTGAGGCTGAGTCGACCTAGGGGAGGATGCCTAGAATGGGTTCAGATAATCGTCACTGGTGTCGGCCATGAGCGGGAATTGATTTCGGGTTGCCGGGTTCGTAGAGCAGTGCGCTTACCGCTACACTACCACTCCCCAAGTACAAACACCAAATAGACACTAATTATCACAAGGCCTCAAGTCTGCACGAACCACACATGATTGTGGTAAAACATGCAGACATGCTTTGATAAAGATTGCATTGTCCTTGAAACTGATTGGCCTACACCAGAGACAGCCTTCTTTGTGGCCTTGTCTCACCAGTATTAGAACAGAGAATGCCACAAAGTGAATATTAAAAAGACAACGCAACTATAAACGCATTAATAGCTCTGGTTGAGCAGTTATAACCCTCCTTTTGGCATTTTTTGGTCAAACACTGTTGAGACAAGGTCATAAATATTAATCTACAACAATTTGGAAGGACGTACTTGGAAAGGTAACAGAAAATCATCTTACAAACACAGACGACACAACTTAGAACACTGAGCACCAAGTTAAAGAGCTCTGCTGTAAATATTCCAGCAAAATCTAGATTTGAAGTTTTCGTGACTGCAGGGATCCATACTCTTTGGTTCTTTCGGTAAAGTCACGTGGGTAGAAAATAAAATAAATTAAATCACGACGTTTCGATTGCAACACAAGCACTCATCATCAGGTGGGAAAATCAAAGCACGAAAATATATTGCTGTGGGTTTTTTTTTTTGCTGTGGGTTTTTTTTTGCTGTGGTTTTCCCACCTGATGACGAGTGCTCGTGTTGCAATCGAAACGCCGTGATTTAATTTACTTTATTTTATACCCACGTGACTTTACCGAAAGAACCAAGGAGTATGGATTCCAGTCACTTTCCCCACACCGAGTTGGCCACGAGGAGGCTGCTGCGCGGTGTCTGTGTGGTGCCTCCGCTGCTGAAGGCCAGCGACGGCATGCACGGCCCCGCCTATGACATCACCCACCAGCGATGTTAGAGCCATGGCCAGGGATCCAACATCCTAGTCGTCGTCGTCGTCGGCTCTCCAACTCGAGTCACCTGGCTCGTGGGGCAACGTGAAGCCCTAACCACTGTGCCACCGCTGTGCCAGCCCGTTTGTAACGCCTCGGTGTTGCGGAGATCCCAACGCGCGCGTTGCACAAACACCAAACTCACCGCTTCGAGATCTGCTTTCAGCGAGCCGAGTGTCTGCTCCACGCCCTCCGTGCTGCGCTGCAGCCGCAGTTTCTGTCACGTCAACACCGCGCTCGTCAATGGGTTGTAGTGTGCCGCGTTGCTGCGTATCGCGTTGTAGCACTCAATTGTATTGTAATACATGGCAGCATACTGCATCCTGGTGTACTACATCCTGGTGTACTGCATCCTGGTGTACTGCATCGTATCGTGCTGCTTTGTAGAATACCACATTCTAGCATTTGCGGCACGCTGCATCGCAATGTACCGCGTCGCAGTGTACCGCACTGCAATGCCGTACCAAAGAATTCTGCTGCTCCCACTGCTGCTGCATTGACTGGAGGCTGTGTCGGATCGCCTCCATTTCGCTGCGTCGCTCGCAGATGCTCTCCTGCAGCTCCCTGTGCTCCGTCTTGAGCACAGCCGTCGGCGGCACCACGTCAAGAGAACAGCGCACACACACCCGCAAGTACGACACATGCACAGCGCGCAGTACACAGCTAGCACGACCCACAGTGCGCACAGCACACAGCAAGCACGGCGCACGGTACACATGGCACACAACACACACAGCGAGCACGTTACACACAGCACACCGCTAGCACGCGCCACAGTGCGCACAGCACACAGCAAGCACGGCGCACGGTACACATGGCAGACAACACACACAGCGAGCACGTTACACACAGCACACCGCTAGCACGCGCCACAGTGCGCACAGCACACAGCAGACCAATAGCACGACCCACAGTGCGCACACAGCGAGCACGGCGCGCACAGTGCAACGTCGACCGCTTCCCAACCCTCAGGGCCGCATTTTCTTAATCGGGACCTGGCTCTGGCTTCAACCCGCTCGGTTGCTTTCAAAGACGCGCGAGCGGCTCGGCCAAGGCCTGGCTCAGGCTCAGCTCATGGCACGAGTAAGCGATTGCAGGGCTGCGCCTTTACCACGGCCCGAGCGATGTCCACCGAGACCGCTCACCTGCAGCTTGGCGATGGCCTGCTTGCTGCTTTTCGACCCCTCCAGCATGCCCTGCAGCGAGCTCGCTTTCCCATGGATCTTTCAGACAAAGATGAAGATCTCTCGTTAAGACTCACAGACCATTGGAGCCCAGTGCCGTCAGCGAGCGCCTTGCTTGATAAATGATTAAAGAAACATCGCATCCATCAATAACACTGTGCTCTTAAAAGCATAATTATATAATGGACAACATCTCGGGCAGTGGCCCTTCTTCATAGGACATGACTGGATAAGGTTGGGACAACACACGAAGGTGGACGGTGTGGCCGGCACCACTCCCCGCTGCCTTTGTCTTCCCAGTGCTGAGTACCCCCCTTGCTATTCTGATGACGTAATAAGAAAAAAAAACTAAAATAAAATATCTTTATCGGTACGTCTTCAGGTCGGAAGATGTACCGAGGCTCCCACAAGGCCATGCGGGAGGGCGTGTGGCGAAGTTTGGCGCCAGCTATCGTAGAGTGCGGTCGTGTCGCTACAGTTCTCTGCGGCGAGAGCAATGTCTTCAAAAACAACGGCGCTACGCCTCTCTAAATAAAATGTAGGTTAATCGCTCGCACATTCCGAGATTCAGCGGTGAACGTAATCCCGCACCCTGCAACTTGCAGACGTCTCGGCATGGGATAGGGCTTAATAGACACCGCACCAGGTATTTAATTATAGCCGAATCATCCTTGGAGTTGCCTGGGATGAGTTCAGATGTCACCGATGGTGTGCGTGGCCGGGAATTGAATGCAGGTCACCAGGATTTTCTGACAGTGCCTGAACCACTAGACCAAGCCCTCTCCTTCCCCCCCGCACAACGACATTCAGCCATTCACGACCGAGCGGTAGTAACGTCACCACGGCACTTGTGGTAGCAAAGGTGCGCTTTGAGGGCATGTGAAGTGTCAAAGGCTCGTTGCCAGGATGTCACGGTACAGACCCGGGTGTCATACATGTACACACAAACACTACTCGGTCAACTCTATTTGGTTTGCAGACATTGCGTGAAATGAGGTCCCCCCTCCCCTGTCCAATTTCTCCCCCCCCCCCCACCCCTCCCGGTATCCCAGTGCTGGGGCCCCTCCAGCCCCTGGGCCTCCACACGATGCATTTGCACTGGCCTGCTGCTCACTGGATAGCTCCGCCACAGCACCGTAAACCCCACCCCTCACCTCTTTCCTCGCATTTGCGAGTTGCTCTGCCAGCTCGTGTTTCTCCTCCAGAACCTTCTTGACCGTCTGAATGTGTCGGGCCTCCCTCCCTACGGCAACCCCGACCAGAAAACATTGGGGGGGGGGGGGGGGGGGGGGTCCGCCGAACGAACGCGAAACGAGGGTGAGAAAAACATAACGCGACGATACGCGTCTCGTAATTTGACCTGCACCTCAAAACCGAATTGTTGCAGAGGCAGCTGTGTGGCTCAGGCGGCGACGGACGCCCAATGCATGCCGGGGCGACGAGATTCCGCGCTCGAATCCAGAAGGTGGGGTGAACTTACTTAATCAATGAATTACAAACGAGCAAAATTATAATTTTTTACAATTTTGGAGAAGCAATACTTACGTAGATATCTTCTGTTTTGAAACTGTCAAGATCGAAAGAAAGTCAACGTTAGTTCAGAACGGGCAATAAACATGCAACAACTGTCACTGGCGCTCCGAAGTATTTTCGGGTTGTACCGCGTGCGCTTCGGCACGCTGTCCGACGTTTCTCTCCGCGTGCTGCGAGCTCCTTCAGGGACTGACTTGTCAAACAATAAAATTGCGTACGAGAATTCTTTCATGGATTTTCAGGGAGTGAAGAAGCTGCCGTCATCATCAAGTTGAGTGAAATGTGAGACATCACGGCCGAACAACGCGCGGTGACACCCGAAGACACACAGCTACACACCACTACTGGAGCTGTGCACTTTTAAATGTAGATACCTAATTTCTTTAGAATTTTTTTTTTGCATTTGGTTTGTTGTCCTTCCCCCGCACCTTGTCAAGTTGGGGCCAGGAGTTGTACGCTTTTAAACGCGTTAGAGATGTCAAGATGATGATGAGGACTTGTTCCAACAATTTTTCAGTTTGGAAAAGTACTACTAAACGTCCTATTTTTACTAAATGTTTAGCACGGTTGGCTACGTACTGTGCAAAAGAAGTTCAACAGACATACATATACAGCACAAACGGAAAAACTTGTTCCAACAATTTTTCAGTTTGGAAAAGTACTACTAAACGTCCTATTTTTACTAAATGATTAGCACGGTTGGCTACGTACAGTGCAAAAGAAGTTCAACAGACATACATATACAGCACAAACGGAAAAACCTACGCATTAGTAATGCTCGTCACCGTTTGTAAACTCACTCTCGTGTTACTGACAGCTATTTGTGCCAATTAACAAAAATCCAACGAGTCAAATCACTGTTTCCGAACTACATGCGATTCATATTCAACGAGGTCCAGTTGGAAAGCGATTGCAGAATTATTTTATTACAACAGAAGGGACCATGGCAAGGAAATGCGCTCTTTGAGTTTAAACTGCCTAAAGAACATTCTCACTCGCTCGCCGTGTCTGTGTGCGTGCAGTCAAGGGGGTCGAGCAGGGAATCGGTGCAAGCGGGACGTGACAGCAAGGGTTTGGCACCGTGCCACTTGCACAGGCGAAAACGCAACGCGCCACATAAAAATCCGGGAATATTTCTCTCCTGAAACCCCCGCCGCGTTACAGCAGAACACGACGCACGACTGTGAAAGGGAACCCTTCGTGAAGACGCTTGGAGACGTCAAAGCAGCCGTAACGAGGCGAACGGTAGGACATCAAGGGGCTGGAGCAGGGGTCGGGAACCTATGGCTCGCGAGCCAGATGTGGCTCTTTTGATGATTGCATATGGCTCGCAGATAAAACAAAATATTCTCACTTGTTTTAATCCATCCATCGATTTTTCACTGCGCATGTCCTGTTCAGGGCTGCAGGAGCAATTGTCCATTATTTTAATTGGATGATACTGGCCTACGTTTGCCGTTGCTGGGTAAAACAGGTAAACGCCCCCTTTTGAATCAGTCTGAGATTGCGTCTGCTCGGTCATTAGCTCAAAGCTAACCCTTCGACGAAGAAGATGGCGAAAAGAAAAAAAGACGAGTATCGTACATTTCAGGACGAATGGACCGAAGAATTCGCCTTTGTGGAGAGAGCGGGTTCTGCGGTGTGTCTAATTTGCAATGACAAAATTACATCGTTGAAACGGTCGAATGTAAAGCGGCACTTCGACACGCGCCACGCTACCTTTGCATCAAAATACCCTGCGGGAGACAGCAGAAAGAAAGCGTGCCAAGAGCTTCTGAGCAGGGTGCAAGCTAGCCAGCAGCAACTCCGCGTATGGACCCGGCAAGGTGACTATAATTCGGCTAGCTTTGCTGGTTCTTTAGCAATAGTGAGGAACGGAAAACCATTCACAGATGGCGAGTATGCTAAAACGTTCATGCTGGATGTAGCCAATGAACTTTTTGATGATCTTCCGAACAAAGACAAGATAATCAAACGGATACAAGACATGCCTCTGTCGGCAAGAACTGTTCATGATCGTACCATCGTGATGGCAAACAAAGTGGAGGAAACGCAAGTGAAGGACATAAATGCAGCGCCGTTCTTTTCTCTGGCTTTGGATGAGTCAACAGACGTGAGCCATTTGTCGCAGTTCAGCGTGATTGCAAGATATGCTGTTGGTGACACACTGCGCGAAGAAAGTCTTGCTGTTCTGCCATTAAAAGGGTCCACAAGGGGTGAGGATTTATTCAAGTCTTTCATGGAGTTTGCTCAAGAAAAAAGTCTACCTATGGATAAACTTCTCTCAGTGTGTACTGATGGTGCTCCGTGTATGGTGGGGAAAAACAAAGGATTTGTGGCGCTTCTCCGTGAACATGAAAATAGACCCATCCTAAGTTTCCATTGCATTATACACCAGGAGGCACTTTGTGCTCAGATGTGTGACAGGCAGTTTGGCGAAGTGATGTCGCTGGTCATTCGTGTGATCAACTTTATTGTTGCCCGAGCCTTAAATGATCGCCAGTTTAAAACACTGCTGGATGAAGTTGTAAATAACTATCCTGGTCTGCTTTTGCACAGCAATGTGCGTTGGTTGTCAAGAGGGAAGGTGCTTAGCCGTTTTGCGGCTTGCCTGAACGAAATCCGGACTTTCCTTGAAATGAAAGGCGTCGGGCATCCTGAGCTAGCCGACACCGAGTGGCTCCTCAAGTTTTACTATCTCGTAGATCTGACTGAACATCTGAACCAGCTCAACGTGAAAATGCAAGGCATTGGAAATACAGTGTTATCCCTTCAACAAGCTGTATTTGCTTTTGAAAACAAGCTGGAGCTTTTCATCACGGATCTTGAAACAGGTCGTTTACTACATTTTGAAAAACTGAGCCAATTTAAAGATGCATGCACAGCAAGTGAGCCCATTCAAAACCTTGATCTCCACCAGCTAGCTGGCTGCACATCCAGTCTCCTACAGTCCTTCAAAGCACGCTTTGGAGAATTTCGTGAGCACACTCGTCTTTTTAAGTTCATCACCCATCCAAACGAGTGTTCACTGAACACAGCCGACCTGAATTACATCCCTGGTGTCTCCGTCAGAGATTTTGAAGCAGAAGTGGCTGACCTGAAGGCCTCAGACATGTGGGTGAATAAGTTCAAGTCACTGAATGAAGATTTGGAAAGAATCACACGACAGAAAGCGGAGTTGGCGAGCAAGCACATGTGGACAGAAATGAAAAAACTCCAACCCGAAGACCAGCTGATTCTCAAAACTTGGAACGCGCTTCCTGTCACATACCACACACTGCAGCGTGTGAGTATTGCTGTATTGACCATGTTTGGATCTACGTATGCATGTGAGCAGTCATTCTCACATCTTAAAAACATCAAGTCCAACCTACGATCACGTTTAACGGATGAAAGCCTCAACGCTTGCATGAAGCTTAACCTCACCAAGTACCAACCCGACTACAAAGACATCAGCAAATCCATGCAGCACCAGAAGTCGCATTAATGGTGAGTGTTATAACAACATTATTTAAAAGAATAAATTCAGAGGCTTATTATACTGACATTTAGTTGAATTCACTTTTAAAATATATTATATGGCTCTCACTGAAATAAATTTCCAAATTTTTTGCTTTCATGGCTCTCTTAGTCAAAAAGGTTCCCGACCCCTGGGCTGGAGGGTTCCAGGGCGGGCTTTGTGAAGCCACGCGGACCTTTGGCAGTGATTTACCGACATGGAACGAGACTGCTGTGAAGGAAATCTACAGGAGACGTTCACAGCTCAACGATTATGGATGTGTGAATGTGCACACGTGCTTTTACGATTACTCCGTATGCCGCTAATTTCACGAATGTCACTTACGAGCTACGCTGCATCAACCAAGATCATCACAGACACAATGTGCCTCTCAGGGCAAACTGATATTGGGCATGGTAGCCAAATGGCATTTCAAACTGGGCATATTCAAAGCAATAAATAATAAGGTCACACTTCTTTCCATTCTGAGAATTAAGAGGGAATGTAGTTTTTGATCGAGTTTCTCGTGTACGCGTATATGTATGGTGAACTTCTTTCATAGCCAACCGTGCTAATCTGTGGTGCAGGGAGTAGCACAGTGTATATCACCGTTCACAATGAAATTGCCTCCAAGCGTCTTGTGAAATGTTTGTTTTCAAAATCAACAACCCGCTCATTGTGCCTTGTACACAGTAAGCACCCAAGCCTGTAGATCAGTGGTTCTTAACCCTTACTGCAGCCTTCCATCCCTTTGGTTCTCAATCGTAATTTTTAAAATAATTTTAATAAATACAAAGCTTTCATGAAAGTAGTTGTACTCATGTGCCCGCGCTTAATTTGTGTTTCGATGATTCATCTTCGAAAAAAATCTGCCATGTCTCGCACCCCCACAAAGGGCATCTCCCACCCCCAGGGGGTGCACGTGTACCCCAGGTTAAGAACCACTCCTGTCGGGTATTCAAAAACCAAAAACAACCGCATGCCTTTCTCTGTAAACTAGCCTACTTTGCACCACAACTTCCAATTGAAGTTGTGTCGGCCAGGATGGAAGAGCAGAGAGGGCTACGTCCTACAACGTGCTGCTTTCGCACCACGTCTGGAACCCACCACGCAGATGAGCCTCCAGAGAAAGGCGAGTGAGAAGGCAATGCCCAGGCACAGTCCCGTGGCCACGACGTCCCAGGGCACGCCGTGGTAGCTGGGTCCGGGTCGCCACTCGGCCGGTAGCTGAGAAGCCACCTGCGGAGAACGCAGCATGAGGGAGTTGCTCACAATTCACGGCAAGACCACTGGGTGATAGCTGGGCCCAGGGTTCCTCTCCCTATTCTTCCGTATGGATATTCATTGAGGAGCAACTGTCCATGTGAAATGTTGGACGGGTGGAATACCCCTCATGCCCTCGGAGAACGCGCGCGTCAGACGCGAGTTTGCACAGACCCATAGACATTTACATTTGAGTCTACGTTGCTGCTGCCTTGATGTTGCTGCGTTGCCAGTAAGGCCTCAATGTGATTCGTTAATCACGTCGTGGCCTTAAAATGAAAAACACGTTACAGGTAACGTTCCGGGAAATGGCGCCAGAGGGAGAGTGGATAAAAGAGTCGGAGACTGCACTTGCTCATAATGTTAAAATGACTGCACTTGCTATCTTATTCTTATTTTATATTTATAGAGCACCTTAGCTCAAGGAACTTACACCACAATGTATGATGAGAAATACAGTTTTACAAAATATTTTTTATCATGACCAGTTTTTAAACTGCCCCACGCAGTGATCCAGAGACTCACAATGCGTTCCACTGTCTACTCCGGTGCAATCACAGTCACACATTTGTGCAATTCTACCAATTTACATCTGTGGAAAAGGTGACTGCAGCTGCCATGGTCAGTTTGATTATAATTTAAGTTATACCATTGCTTGTGGGGAAGTGACCTTTATGGTGGCTCAGGAAAAACAGGGCTAATAGCTCGCTCAACATTATTTACCAGATCGTATTCAGAGACTGACCCCATAAACCTGCGGGGCACTGATGATGACAGACACTGCATATGACGTACAGAGCTGCTGTGCAATGCAATGCAATGACTGCCTGGGCTCCGTTGCGTGTTTGGATTTAGGTTTATGGGGTGAGGTCACTGAACGGCCACCGATGGATCTGTGAGGAGCGTGTCGAGGGCTGTCGTTATAAAAAACAAGGTGATCAGGGTTGTCAAGCTCACCATTCCAAGCAGCGATCCCAGTGACGGAAGAACACAGGCCCTGACGTAGAGGAAGGCAGAATCCATTCGCAGGATGAGATCCGGCAACGTGCCGTTTTTGTCCGACGGGAGCCAGGAAAATTTGTCTGCAGCAAAGAAAATGTCCGATCGCTTAAAAAAAGACTCTGCAAGAACACCACAGCCTTACCTCAAACTCTATGGCAATAACAGTGCAGATTCGCTTCATCAAAACGGTGGCAGCTGCAGCTCCCTTGGGAGTAGGGCCGGCTCTGCTTGCATCCGAAGTTTCCAACTCACGGACACTTAAGAACTCAGTTTAATCACCGATGAATGCCAAGATTTTAATCCGGCACCGAGCAGTAGAGGCTCGGCACCAACCTCCGAGCCATCCACCTCCATTCGAAATTATTTTGAATGCATACTTTAAGTATTGCATCAATCAACACAACTGACACGAAAAATACTAAGAGTATAGTTTAATTTGGATTCAGTGTGCAAAGGTATAGCGAAACACTATGCCAACATTAAATGTTCATAATAATGCAATGGGTTCAAGCTAATGAATATCCATATATATTCCTGCATTACAGCATTTACCAAATACCAGGCCAGATTTTCATCTTGATGATTGATCCTTTTTCTAGGATGTTTTTATGGAAATACACCGATGGAATCATCCGCACATGTTCCCAATTGACAAACTTTCCAAACGTCTTGGCCGTTTTGTCAAAATGGGAATGTGACCCTAGATTATCCAGGGATGAGGGAGCTCCCACTGTGCCAAGACTGATGGGAAGATGTGAGAGAAGACAATTGTTTTGATTGAATAGAACAGAAAATATGTTATGGGGAACTGAGATTAGAGGTCAGCAACTCTCATGTGTGCTGCGTCATCTCACCTTGAACCACTTTAACCTTGACCTTTGCCCCCGGAGCTATGGGTACACTCTCCATGCTCATGGAGAAACGCTTCCTCATGGCGAAGACGACATCCTGCACGTCATTGAAAACCTCCACCCGCTCCTCGTACGCCTCCTCCTCCTCCTCCTCCAGATCCTGTCCCTCCTCGGCCTCCTCATGCTGCTTGCCGACATCTTCCAGTACCTCCTGGAGCCACTGCAGGACCCTGCCCTCGTGCCTGTCCATCACAGAGTCCAGGCTCTTCTCGACGTCCTCCATTGTGCCCTCTGCCCTAATCTTGCTGTCGGCGAGTTCCCGTTCGAACGCACGCAGCCGGTCCTCCAGCAAGCTCAGCTTTGTCTCCGTGAGAATCCGGCGCAAGCGAGACTGGCGCTCCTCGCTCAAGTAATCCTCCACCACTGTCTGCTCAAACTCGGGCGGGCCGTCATCTGGTTTTCGGGACGGACTTTCAGACCCATCGTTTTCCGAGTCGGAGTTACCCGTGGGCACTCTCCTCTTCTCGTCGGCATGGGCATCATCTACGTCTAGCAGGGTTTCAATTTCTTCCTTCATAATATTATCTTCTGCAGACAAGTTTTGTTCATTTCCCAGATCCATCTGTTCCAGAACATCTGGGTATACTTCATCTTCTGCTGTTGTAATTTGTGAGATATTCTGATCACTTCTGGATTGATCAGTTTCGAGGTAAATTTCATCACCTACTTCAGATGCAAGGGCATTTTCATCTTCAAGGAGTTCAGTCTCCGATAGGTCATCCATTTCATTTGTCATGTTATCATCTACACGATGACCATCACTCTCATCGTCGTCATCATCAAGTTCTTCATCGAAATCATTTAGTGGGTCATCGCTTTCAACGTCACCATCGTCATTACTTGCATTAGCGATTTGTTTATGATCCTCTGCCACGTTAACCGAGGAAGATACATCTGCTTCAACTTCCTCATCTTCAGGGGCCTCTAGTTTATCCTCATCTTCCTCCTCTTCCACAGGCTTTTGATCCTCCTGTTCCTCATCATCCAAATAATATAATTCTTCATCAGCCGGTTCAGGATCCATCTCTTCTTCCTCTAGTTCCAAATTATCCTCAACATCTTCATCATCGTTCAACTCTACTCGTCCTTTTAGATCTTTCTCCTCGAGTTTGTCCACTTCCTCTTTATCCACCTGCTCCTCCTGAGGCTCCTCATTAGCTTCCTCATCACGAGCGAGATCGTCACTTTTTACCACATTTTCATTTCCCTGCTCGGCGAGCATCTCTAAATCTGCCTTGTTTGCAAATTGTTCTATTTTCAAGTCTTCTCTTATTTTAACATCTAAAGTAGACTGCTTTGTAGGCACGTCTTTTTCCGACATCCCCTCTTTTCCCGAAAGATCCTCTTCGTGATTGGCGTTTTTCTCCAGCTGTGTCTCCTTTATACCTGCCCCGTGCTTGCTTTGAGACAGCCTCACCTTAATACGTTCCTTTGTCACAACGGTCTGCTCAGCTTCATCATTTGCATCACCATCATCGAAATCCTCTTCATCCTTCAAGTCGTCATCCACCTGGTACCAGGCGTTCTTCAGCTCAGATTCTAGCTGAGACGTTTCTTTTTGTGTGGCTACATCACCTTTAAAGTCAGCAGGTGACACTTCACCATCAACAGCCAAGGCTCTCTTCATTGTTAAACGCACCCTGGCTGCGGCTTCCCGAATCTCAATATCTTGAGCTACATCCTTCTTTTGCAGTGTGCCTGCTACATCATATTTATGACTGTAATTTCCTTCGGTAACTTTCTCTGTGGCAGAGGGCTTAGTTCTGTCCAAAATTTCTTCCAACTCCAGTGCAACATCTTTTTCCCCATGGTCGTTAAGTTCCAAGGGTTTCTTGATGACATTTAAATCCATCTGAACTTTAGCCTCACGTATTCCAATATATTCAGAATCGAGCGCATCATGTAGCTTCTCATCTTCCCCTGCAATTCCCTTGTTTATTGCTAAAATTAACTTCCATTTAGCTTCACTTATCTCATTTTCACCCTCCGCATACTTATTTACTTTCTGTCGCTCAAGCATTCCACTCTGGTCTTCTGTAGCAGTGGGTTTAGTGACGTCTGAATTTTCCTCCTTCTCAAGTTCCTCATTAAGATCTTTTTCCTCCTGGTCGTTGAGTTCCAAGCGTTTCATGTTGACATTTAAATCCATCTCGGCTTTAGCGTCACGCATCTCGAGATATTCAGAATTGAGCGCATTATGTAGCCTCTCGTCTTCACCTGCAATTGCCTCATTTATTGCAAAAATTAACTTGTCTTTTGCTTCACTTATCTCATTTTCACCTTCTGCAAAGTTATTTAATTTCTGTAGCTCAAGCATTCCACTCTGCTCTTCTGTGGCAGTGAGTTTAGCCGCATCTGAATTTTCCTCCTCCTCAGGTTCCATATTCACATCTTTTTCCCCCTGGTCGTTGAGTTCAAAGTGTTTCTTGTTGACATTTAAATCCATCTCGGCTTTAGCGTCACGCATCTCGAGATATTCAGAATTGAGTGCAATATGTAGCCTCTCGTCTTCGCCTGCAATTCCCTTGTTTATTGCTAAGATTAACTTCCCTTTAGCTTCACTTATCTCATTTTCACCTTCTGCAAAGTTCTTTACTTTCTGTAGCACAAGCATTCCACTCTGCTCTTCTGTGGCAGGGAGTTTAGCTGCATCTGAATTTGCCTCCTTCTCAGGTTCCACATTAACATCTTTTCCCTCCCGGTCATTGAGTTCCAAGCGTTTCTTGTTGACATTTAAATCCATCTCGGCTTTAGTGTCACGCATCTCCAGATATTCAGAATTTAGTGCATCATGTAGGCTGTCATCTTCCCCTGCAATTCCCTTATTTATTGCTAAAATTAACTTCTCTTTGGCTTCACTGATCTCATTTTCACCTTCCGCATAGTTGCTTAGTTTCTCCCGTTCAAGCATTCCACTCTGCTCATCTGCGGCAGTGGGTTTAGCCATGCCTAAATTTTCCTCCTCCGCAGGTTCCATATTCACATCTTTTTCCTCCTGCTCGCCGAGTACCCAGCGTTTCTTGTTGACATTTGAATCCATCTCGGCTTTAGCGTCACGCATCTCGAGATATTCAGAATTGAGTGCAATATGTAGCCTCTCGTCTTCGCCTGCAATTCCCTTGTTTATTGCTAAAATTAACTTCCCTTTAGCTTCACTTATCTCATTTTCACCTTCTGCAAAGTTGTTTAATTTCAGTCGCTCAAGCATTCCACTCTGCTCTTCTGTGGCAGTTGGTTTAGCTACGTCTGAATTTTCCTCCTTCTCAGGTTCCACATTCGCATCTTTTCCCTCCAGGTCATCGAGTTCCAAGCGTTTCTTGTTGACATTTAAATCCATCTCGGCTTTAGTGTCACGCATCTCCAGATATTCAGAATTTAGCGCATCATGTAGCCTCTCATCTTCCCCTGCAATTCCCTTGTTTATTGCTACAATTAACTTCTCTTTTGCTTCACTGATCTCATTTTCACCCTCCGCATAGTTGCTTAGTTTCTCCCGCTCAAGCATTCCATTCTTCTCATCTGCGGCAGTGGATTTAGCCACATATGAATTTTCGTTCTCCTCAGGCTCCATATTCGCATCTTTTTCCTCCTGGATGTCGAGTTCCAAGCGTTTCTTGTTGACATTTAAATCCATCTCGGCTTTAGGGTCACGCTTCTCCAGATATTCAGAATTGAGCGCATCATGTAGCATCTCATCTTCCCCTGAAATCCCCTTATTCATTTCTAAAATTAACTTGTCTTTTGCTTCACCGATCTCATTTTCACCCTCCGCATAGTTGCTTCGTTTCTCCCGTTCAAGCATTCCACTCTGCTCATCTGTGGCAGTGGGTTTAGCCATGCCTAAATTTTCCTCCTCCTCAGGCTCCATATTCACATATTTTTCCCCCTGCTCGTCGAGTACCCAGCGTTTCTTGTTGACATTTAAATCCATCTCGGCTTTAGCGTCACGCATCTCGAGATATTCAGAATTGAGTGCAATATGTAGCCTCTCGTCTTCGCCTGCAATTCCCTTGTTTATTGCTAAGATTAACTTCCCTTTAGCTTCACTTATCTCATTTTCACCTTCTGCAAAGTTCTTTACTTTCTGTAGCTCAAGCATTCCACTCTGCTCTTCTGTGGCAGTGAGTTTAGCCGCGTCTGAATTTTCCTCCTCCTCAGGTTCCACATTAACATCTTTTCCCTCCCGGTCATTGAGTTCCAAGCGTTTCTTGTTGACATTTAAATCCATCTCAGCTTTAGTGCCACGCATCTCGAGATATTCAGAATTTAGCGCATCATGTAGCCTCTCATCTTCCCCTGCAATTCCCTTATTTATTGCTAAAATTAACTTCTCTTTGGCTTCACTGATCTCATTTTCACCTTCCGCATAGTTGCTTAGTTTCTCCCGTTCAAGCATTCCACTCTGCTCATCTGCGGCAGTGGGTTTAGCCATGCCTAAATTTTCCTCCTCCGCAGGTTCCATATTCACATCTTTTTCCTCCTGCTCGCCGAGTACCCAGCGTTTCTTGTTGACATTTGAATCCATCTCGGCTTTAGCGTCACGCATCTCGAGATATTCAGAATTGAGTGCAATATGTAGCCTCTCGTCTTCGCTTGCAATTCCCTTGTTTATTGCTAAAATTAACTTCCCTTTAGCTTCACTTATCTCATTTTCACCTTCTGCAAAGTTGTTTAATTTCAGTCGCTCAAGCATTCCACTCTGCTCTTCTGTGGCAGTTGGTTTAGCTACGTCTGAATTTTCCTCCTTCTCAGGTTCCACATTCGCATCTTTTCCCTCCAGGTCATCGAGTTCCAAGCGTTTCTTGTTGACATTTAAATCCATCTCGGCTTTAGTGTCACGCATCTCCAGATATTCAGAATTTAGCGCATCATGTAGCCTCTCATCTTCCCCTGCAATTCCCTTGTTTATTGCTACAATTAACTTCTCTTTTGCTTCACTGATCTCATTTTCACCCTCCGCATAGTTGCTTAGTTTCTCCCGCTCAAGCATTCCATTCTTCTCATCTGCGGCAGTGGGTTTAGCCACATATGAATTTTCGTTCTTCTCAGGTTCCAGATTCGCATCTTTTCCCTCCCGTTCGTCGAGTTCCAAACGTTTTTTATTGACATTTACATCCACCTCGGCTTTCGCGTCACGTATCTCCAGATATTCGGAATTGAGCGCTTCATTTAGCTTCTCATCTTCCCCTGCAATCCCCTTATTCATTGCTAAGATTAACTTCCCTTCAGCTTCACTGATCTCATTTTCACCCTCCACATACTTGTTTTGTTTCTCCCGTTCAAGCATTCCACTCTCCTTCGGTCCCTCTTTCTCCGTGTCTACCACGGCCTTTGCATCTTCCTCTGTCAAAGAAGCGTTGCTCTTTCCAATGTTATCTTTACCTAGGTCATCATTTTTACTGACATCTTTCAACAAATGTGCAGTCTCATTTATTTTCAACAATTCTTCCGATCCAAGCGCTGCCTCTTTCAAATCTTCATTTAATTTTACATCTTCCACAATCTTCACTTCTGGGTTCATAAGTGTATGGTGACCGTGTGAGGCTTCAGCAATTGCACCATTGTTACCAACGAGACCCTTCTTGAACTCCAAGTTTATTTTGGGGTCTGTGTCTATTATTTCTGAATCTTCCTTACCCAACACTTTCGCAAGTCCTTTATTTTCCTCAGTCAATGCCTTTTTCAGCTCGAAAATTTGCTGAGATTTTGTTTCCTTCATCAGTAACTGCTCCTCATCCTGAGAATAAATTAAGCCCGCACCAGCCCTGTCCATGTCCTTCACATCAAAGTGTTGTTCATTGGCGGCTTCATTTCTCTTCGCGACTATTCCCTTGGGGTCCACATCTTCCTTGACCGGCTCTTTGGAAACCTCAGACACTTTTTCCCGAAGCTCTTTATGCAAAGGATCTGTATGGATCAAACTCTGGTAAGCATCATCATTTGACACCTCTTTGTCTACGATCTTCGCTTGTTTGGTTGACATTATCTCTGCCTCATTAAATGCTTGCCCTTTCTTCCCATTGTTTTCTTCCTGTGTTCCATTTGTATCAACCGTTTCTTTCACAGGCTCCAGAGAGCCTGCTGGTGTTTTACTTTCAGCATCCATCATATTCAGTTTTTCTTCGATTGAATTGACCTTGACTAAATTTGAGTAATATTTTTTCTCCACTTTCAGACTCCTCTCCATCGACACACCTCTTAAATCGTCACGCTTTTCCATTTCTCCTTTGGACTCGGTTAATTCTTCATTTGGGCTCTTCATCTTTGAATCCATCGCAGCTCTAGATTCTTTCAGCTCCATATACTTCTTGTCAAGGGTAGTCTTCAGCTGTACATTACTGTCGGCCAACGCTTTGCTGATCTCGAAATTTACGCTGGTGACTGCGTCCTCGATCGCCAAGCGTTCTGCACGCAGTTTCTCATTTACTTGTTCAGTCATTTCCTTTTTGTTCATATCCTCTTTGGTCGTTAGATCTCCCGTGGGAACTTTATTTCCCTCAGCCAATTTGCTCTCCGCTTTTGCATGCTGCCTGTTCAGAGGTGTGAAGGTTTCAGTTGTTTCCCTCATTGAGCCCTGGAGTGGCTCATCTTCTGCTAATGGTTTAACATCATCACTGCTTTCTTTGAACAGAGGATTGATCTCCTTAAAAGACCCCATTTCTTTACCATTTCCAATGGTGGCTTCCACCAAAGAATCCACCTCACCTTTGTTAAGCTTCTCTAAATGCACATCATCTCCAATTTTGTTTTCCTCAAAGGTGTCCCCGACTACATCTCTAACATCTCCGGCCAGGCTTTTGTTCACATTTAATGTAATGTTTCCAATATTCTCATCCACCTCCAAGTTATTTTCCAAAGTTGTTCTCTGCGCCACTTTCTCTGAGGTAGCATCCAGTTTATTTACATCTATAGGTACCAGAGATTCTTTATCTTTCTTGTCACCTACACCCAGACCCTTATCCGCGTTTAATGTAGCATTTCCAATATTCTTATCCATCTCCAAGTTATTTTCCAAAGTTGTATTCTGTTTCATCTTCTCTGAGGTAGCATCAATTCTATTTAAATCTAAAGTCGTCGGAATGCCTACGGCTTTCTTGTCATCTACAACCATGGCGTCCACCTTACGATCAGAAGCGTCTTCATCACTTTTCACTCCTGCATGAAGATCTGTTCCCTGCTCATCATGTCGATCAACTATCTCCTTTGTTCCCGACTCCCTCGGCATAGGAGTCTCTATCGACAACTTATTTGCATCGCTGGCCTCTCCTTCCAGTTTGAGATCTCCATCCTTCCTTTGTGATGGTGCTTTGGCTTCCATAGGCAGAGACGCATTCCCTGCTTTAGAATCACCGACACGGTCCTCTTGCTCGCCCTCCGCGGCCACATCTCGCACTAGTTCTTTTGGCTGCATTAGCTTTTCCTGCATCTCTGGCAACTTGCCGGTCTCCTCAATGGCCGCCTCTGATATATTGGTCACCGGATATTCCACCAGATGTTCTAAGTTAACATCCACATTCAAGTTCACTTTCTCAACATCTTGTGAGGAGGCTTGCAATTGTGGTTCTGTTCTCTCCACTTGGGACGTGACCTGTGACCCTCCCTCTTTGTCCTTTGCCGAGTTACTGGAGGCTGTTAGCACCGTTAGCTCTTCATCTGCTGGTTCCACACTCCGCTTTCCAAGAGCCTTCTTGGTCTCCACATTACTATCAAATTCAAGGGTGCCATCCTTCATTCGATCTTTATTCATCACCTTCTCAGCCACATCCTTGTTCTCCAAGATCACCTCGGACTTGTCGTTTACAGGTTCGTATTTTACTCCTGCAGGAGGCTTGTCATTGATTTCAGATCCACTGTCCTTCAGCTGTGTTGCTTTTTCCACATCAAAGTGCTGAGTATTTATTGATGAGGCTTCGGCAACAACATTTGTTTCCAATTCGGGGCTTATATTCAAAAGTGCTGGAACATCGTGAACCTCGACTGCAAACTCATTGTCACCTATGTCCTTTTCCCAGTTGGAATCAGATGATTTACGGTGGCGATCACCTGGCATTTCTTTCAAAGGAAATTTTAAAATGTCCTCGTCGCCATCACTGTTTCGATTTACGGAATCTACGTCTTTGGTCAGATCAGGGTTGAGAACATTTCCAGATATTGTAAATTTGACAAGGTAAGCTGCTTCACTGGAAGTTGCATCATCTTTGCCTGCCACAACCAAATGCGACTTTGCTTCTGCGTCCGAGTCTTCCGAATCATCTGGTGAGGATTTGAACTTGGAAACTTTTTGTTGCACATCACTGCCAAATATGTGTTTGTCCCACTTTACAGGCTTCACGTAATTCTCACCATCAGCTAACAAGTCTGTAACCTGTGCAGTGACATTGACACTTCCTAACTGATCTTCGACGATGTCCATCAATTCAGTGTCGAGCAGTTTGCTGGGCTTAGCTTCGGAGATTTGCTCTGTTAGACGGATCTGCACCTCTGGAAGGTCATTTTCAGCATTTTCTACAAATGTATTCTCATCCTCAAAAGTCTCCATGTGAACCAAATCATCTTCTTCGGATTCCAATGTGACTTTTCCAATGTCCGTTGAAGGTAAGGGAAGTGGGATTTCATTTTGGAGAGGTCTTTTATTATCTTCCCTGGCAATTCCGTCACCCTGAGTTTTAGTGAACATTTCTGCAGCCTCATCGTTACGAGCAGGTTTAGGCCTCCTGAGGTCATTACCTTCGATGTCCCCAGCATCTGATGATGCTTCTGTTGAGACTTGGTCTCTGTCATTGCCACCAGAATCCTGCCCTTCTGTGACTGCCGTTCCAACAATTATGTTGGGGGAATCAACATTTTCATCTTTTCTCTCTTTAATTTCTTCCGTAACAGGATCCGTTTTTAAAGTTTGTTCCTCGGCATTTGCAATGTTGAATTTAGCAAGAAATATGTCTTCTTGAGAAAATGTATCATGGCCGTGTGTCATTGTCAAGTCAGACACTGCTGGCGAATCTTTTAATTTTGCTCTGCTCCGTTTCACCTCCCCAGTCAATATATGTCCATCCGATGTGGCTAAGTCTTTATATTCTTCCCCTTCTTTCAATGCGTGTGTGACCTGCTCTGTCACTTCTCGCTCATTTGTCACACGTTTGTCATGTTTCACCAACTCGGTCGGGAGCTGTTCAACGAAACGGACCTCCGAGACTTGTTCCGTTAATAGGATCTGCAGCTCTGGCAGGTCGCTTGAGGCATTGTCTTCAGGAGTAATAATTTCATCTTCGTTACTCTCGATGCTAAACAAGTTATTTTCTTTCAATGCAAGTGCATTTACATCCTTTTTAATTGCATATGCGTTTGATACAGATGAGGCTTCCCTTGGGGATTCCACATTTAAGGTTCCTTGTCCGATTTCAGAATGTTCTGCTGGAAACAAAGCTGCGTCAACTTCAGGATCGCTAGCAATTTCAGAATCATTACGGGATTTGTCTTCACTGGCTTTGGGATGAGAGGCTAACACTGGTAAGGGTTTTCCATCACCGTGAACGTGAGATGGCTGTCCCTGTGGTGTTACCACTCTTGCATCTCCTTCAGGGGACTTCATGTCGCTATCTTTTTCAGTCCTTGTATCTCCGTTAACCTGGTGTTGCTTTGAAATATTTTCTTCTTCATTTGGTACTCTAGGCATTTGGTTTTCTGAACCGCTAGCTTTAACTTGAGGTAAAGTGGGCTCCACATCTCCCATGTGGAGATCATCATTTCCATGACTTTCATCATCAGATGTTTTTGCGTTCTGATGACTGGATGGTAGGCACATGAAATCTGTAAACTGCAACGGATAACTTTAATTAATGTACTACAAATCACTTTTTAAAAAAATCCAAAGTCAGCATTAGTCCATGAATCATTGCAAAACGTAGGCAGCAGTAATGTCTTTATAGTACCAATACATTAATAATTGTTAATAATTCATTAATAACGTAATCCCTTTGTTAAACCATTGCTAAAGGTCTTCCCCTCCCCACATCCTGTCGGTCATGAGGGTTGTTTGACCATACTTCACCACCTGGTTAGTGAGGGACATACCTCACCAAGCTCGTTAGGAAGGACTGATGAGGGGGAGGTACCAGAATGGATTCTGATATTACTCACCACTGATATTACTCACCACTGAAGTTACTCATGGCTGGGAATCTAACTCATCGGGTTCAAACCGCAATGTTCTAACCACTGCACCATCACTCGCCTACAACTCCAATCGTCCACCCCATGGTTTTATACATCCAAAAAAACCCCTTATTTTACCACTGCAGATGGTACCAACAAATCACACATCTAGTTTGCAAGCTACTGACTATGCAATAACAGACAAAGTGTAAGGATGTATTTGAATTTCTCAGTCAATTACTTATTACACAGAGGTACATGATCAACGGATAGAGACAATGGGCATGATGATTGCGCCTTGTACCGTCATATTAGGAGGTAGCAGTACAGCAAATAAGGTTTCTTAGTGGAATATTTGTGTTAGAGTTTAAGCATTATGTATTCACGTTTTCTACCATATGCAATGGTACTTCATGTTGGAAAATGATACAAAATTCACAACAGGACGTTCCTAAGTCTTTAAACAGAAGGTCTTTGGTAGTTTCCACAGGTGGGTAAGGAACACGTACACACACACACTCACACCATTATAACCGTTTCAAGTAAAACATTTTCTTTTACCTTGGTGGGTTTCTTAATGTCTTTGGCCGATGGCTCTTTAAAAATCACCTTCACGGCGTCTTTAGGAAAATATCCAAACTGCAACCCGGCCTGGAAAACACAAAAAAGCGTAGCGATGGGCAAAACACAAAGGGACAATGGATGCCATCACGAGTGCCTGAGACAACACGGATTGGATCGCCGGTACCACAGCTTTCTAAACTCCAGCGCAAGGCAATCCCACACACGGTCCAGATTTTTTTTTTATATTTGTATTTTGGGGGAAACGTCGTCAAATGACGATGCTGAATTTAGTCGTGAATAGTCTAAAGCAACCAACGAGGAGACATTTTTGGGTCAGAATTTGACCAACGCGTTAGCATGTACAGATGTTTGTAAACGTGGCCATCTGTGTCGGGTGGTGGAGGGAAAATTACACGAATTTTGTCGTAAAACTATCGAGCCTAAAACAAATAAATAAAACATCTTAGGGTGGAACATCTCGTTGACTAGTGTCCAGGGTATGCAAATATTTTAAACAAGTTAATAACGCCTGTCTTCACCAGGCAAAAGTTTTCAGTAAATATAATAATTAACCTTGATGTGATTTTGTTCAATATTTATCTACAATCAGACCACTAACAACTACTCCAAACAAAAAACATTTCCGTGAAAAAACTAAAATTGTTGATGTTTCAATTCGACTTTAAAGACGCATCCGTCAGAAAATGCTCAATTTAAAGATTACGTTATTTTTTCACTAGAAAGAACAAACATTTATGAACTTAATACTCTATGAGGAGAAGCTCTCCTATCTTTAACCGTTTTTGAAATATTCAGATTTTTACACGAAAAAATGTGTATTTTTTTCGTTCAAACCTGCTTGAATCATACATATATTAAGAAAAACAATAAATGACAAAAGATATTCTCGATTTCATTTTAATTGCTGTTTAACGCTCTATCACACGAAAACCCACGATCTCATTTTGAACGGTTTCTGAATGACACGCACAAAATGTTTATGGGGCACTTAAAATCGAAATTTGGGGGCCTAAAAATAAAAAAATCTCGGATTTTTATATTCGCCTTGTTGTTTGTATCCTAAAAGCTACCCAAGTACCACAATTTAGCTTTCTACCTTGTTGAGAAGTACCCGAGGCTTTTGGGACATACAGTGAGGGAAAAAACTATTTGATCCCCTGCTGATTTTGTATGTTTGCCCACTGACAAAGAAATGATCAGTCTATAATTTTAATGGTAGGTTTATTTGAACAGTGAGAGACAGAAGAAAAACAAGAAAATTCAGAAAAACGCATGTCAAAAATGTTATAAATTGATTTGCATTTTAACGAGGGAAATAATATTTGACCCCCTCTCAATCAGAAAAATTTCTGGCTCCCAGGTGTCTTTTATACAGGTAACGAGCTGAGATTAGGAGCACACTCTTAAAGGGAGTGCTCCTAATCTCAGCTTGTTACCTGTATAAAAGACACCTGTCCACAGAAGCAATCAATCAATCAGATTCCAAACTCTCCACCATGGCTAAGACGAAAGAGCTCTCCAAGGATGTCAGGGACAAGATTGTAGACCTACACAAGGCTGGAATGGGCTACAAGACCATTGCCAAGCAGCTTGGTGAGAATGTGACAACAGTTGCTGCGATTATTCGCAAATGGAAGAAACACAAAACAATTGTCACTCTCCCTCGGCCTGAGGCTCCATGCAAGATCTCACCTCATGGAGTTGCAATGATCATGAGAACGGTGAGGAATCAGCCCAGAACTACACGGGAGGATCTTGTCAATGATCTCAAGGCAGCTGGGACCATAGTTACCAAGAAAACAATTGGTAACACACTACGCCGTGAAGGACTGAAATCCTGCAGCGCCCGCAAGGTCCCCCTGCTCAATAAAGCACATATACATGCCCGTCTGAAGTTTGCCAATTAACATTTGTGTGATTCAGAGGACAACTGGGTGAAAGTGTTGTGGTAAGATGAGACCAAAATGGAGCTCTTTGGCATCAACTCAACTCGACGTGTTTGGAGGAGGAGGAATGCTGCTTATGACACCAAGAACACCATCCCCACCATCAAACATGGAGGTGGAAACATTATGCTTTGGGGGTGTTTTTCTGCTAAGGGGACAGGACAACTTCGCCGCATCAAAGGGAAGATGGACGGGGCCATGTACCATCAAATCTTGGATGAGAACCTCCTTCCCTCAGCCAGGGCATTGAAAATGGGTCGTGGATGGGTATTCCAGCATGACAAAGACCCAAAACACACGGCCAAGGCAACAAAGGAGTGGCTCAAGAAGAAGCACATTAAAGGTCCTAGAGTGGCCTAGCCAGTCTCCAGACCTTAATCCCATAGAAAATCTGTGGAGGGAGCTGAAGGTTCGAGTTGCCAAACATCAGCCTCGAAACCTTAATGACTTGGAGAAGATCTGCAAAGAGGAGTGGGACAAAATCCCTCCTGAGATGTGTGCAAACCTGGTGGCCAACTACAAGAAACGTCTGACCTCTGTGATTGCCAACAAGGGTTTTGCCACCAAGTACTAAGTCATGTTTTGCAGAGGGGTCAAATACTTATTTTCCTAATTAAAATGTAAATCAATTTATAACACTTTTGACATGCGTTTTCTGGATTTTTTTTTGTTGTTATTCTGTCTCTCACTGTTCAAATAAAGCTACCATTAAAATTAGAAACTGATAATTTCTTTGTCAGTGGGCAAACATACAAAATCAGCAGGGGATCAAATACTTTTTTCCCTCACTGTAAAGATTAAGGTCTCCATTTATATACATAGAAGAAGATGCATTTCTACTAATCATCACCAGATGTGTAGGAAGTGCCTGTTGGCTCGTTTTTGTTGGCTTGTGTGTGTTGGCATGTGTGTGTGTGTGTGCATGTGTTAGCGTGTCTGTGTTAGCATTTGTTGGCTTGTGTATGTATTGGTGCGTGTGTTGACATGTGTATTGGTGTGTGTGTGCTGGTGTGTGCGCACATGTTGGTGCATCTATGCGTCAGCACATGTTGGCGTGTGCGTACGTGTTGGAGTGTCTGTTAGCAAGTGTTAAATTGCGTACGTGTTGGAGCGCGCGTGCACGCGCGTTGCTGTGTGTGTGCGTGCATGCACGTGTTGGCGTACCGATCCGGCCCACAGGTCGTCCCTCCGGCCGGCCAGCATGTGGTAGACGTACAGCACGTCCCCCGTGCGGAAGCTCACAAAGTGGCAGTCGGGTGCGTCGTAGTCACGCACTGCCTCCACCTTGTAGAGCCACACTGCAGCCACGGGGAGGCCACAGGGAGGGTACGAGCATGGGCACAGGCATGGGGAACACTCCAAGACAGATCGAGTAACAGGAGCAGCCCAGTGCTAGATATACCCAAACAAAATTTCAGATAACAAGCGATTTCCTGCTGAAATGAGCATTGAGGCAGTGCTGGATCTATTGTTGACCAAACCTGAGCCAGCAGTGGAAATTCCTCGTTCCTATGGCGGGGCCAAATCTAAGATATCTATGTTATCGACCCCAGAGAGATGATGGTTTGAGCCAAACCCCCCAACCAGGATTTTAACTTGTGACCTCGCTCAACCCGCTGAGCCACCTCGACACTCCACGACTTCACCAAGAGCATTTGTCCTCGCGCTAGTCGACAGTGACATCATGATGCATCGCGTGATCTCGTGTGGCTCGAAATGTAATGCTATTTGGGCGCTAATTAAATAATTTCGAGGGCAGCTGCAAGTTGCAAAGCGTTTCTCATGGGGGCTAAATCGATTCCCTCTGCTGCCCACCTCGTAACCGCACAGCCTATAACAAAGCAGTAATGCATGACGGTGCATCTAAACTGGACCCACAGAGTGACCAACGTCACTCTTTGGGGCTAGAAAAAGGTTGCACACAGAGGAAGACAACCTGATGATGCAGGCAGCGATGAGAAGGAAACTGGCACTATATGGACACGTATGTGCAATGGACAACACAACAGGACGTTTTTTTTCCAAGCGTTGCTGTTCGGAAAATGGAACGCACCGGAAAGAGAGGAAGACCGAACTGAGGGTGGCTTCTCGACGACGACATCGCAAGAGATTGGTGACGGAAATATGCGGCGCACTACTTGGGCGTATTGGCACAAGACAGAGGAAAGAGGAAACAAATGACAAAACGTGCAGTGGGACATCAACTACGGGTTACCTGCCCATGGATCGTAATGATGATGAATGCATGACGGTAGCTCACCCAATCACTAACCAGGCACAAACATGCTTAGCTTCAGATGCATGAGATTGGGTGCATTATGTGTGATGTGGCCATAGGGTTAGTGTAGCAATGACTAATAGGGGACAGCTGTGCACACAAAGGAAGGAATGTGTGTACTTCAAGTGTACCGCTTCAACCTTCCTATCTATCCAGCCATTGGCATATCCGCTTGAGTGAGATAAGGCAATATTTGTACAGTATAAAGTGCGTCAATAAACACAATCAGCAGCTGCACTTTGGAAAAGCACACACTGGATGTGTGAAAGCGGCCGTTATTGATGTTGGCAACAAAAAAATAAGACTGCACATCAAGGGCACGATAAGAACAGCACCAGTTTGTGCATATAGGAGAAATTGCGGCATACCAAAAAAAAAACAATCCACTAGTCCAATTTCCGTCTGCTCAAATTATTGCTGCCGCGGTGGAATGGTTACCACACAATCCAAAGGCGGCTGGATTGTTCTCACGGCACCACTGCCCAGGCGGCAATCCACGTGGATGCACCATTACACGACGAGGGTCATCGCCACACGTATGGCGAGATGCCACGACTACACTCCCGGGCGAGGCTTTCCCTGGGGTTACACAGCGGAATAATGAAAAGTTATCATTTTAAAAAAGCCACTCGTAACGAGCTGCGCAGGAGCAGAGGGCTCCAAGTTGAGTGCCTCCGGCGTCTCGTCGCGGTGTGCTCGACGCGGCCGCGACAGCCGCTGCCGTTCGTCCTTTATATTTCAACGCTGGGAAGGAACCGATAAGAGGCCTCTCCCCCACCCACCCACCCCCATCCCGTGTGGGCATGCAGGAAAAGTGATATCTGCGGAAACTAAAAACGGGCGATCGAGCGTTGGTCGGAACGCTCGCTGCCGAGATGGAAGTACAGTTTGAGAGCTGCTCCATTCAGAGAGGTGGTAAAAGGCACTTTCATTTCTAGCCAGTAGTCAAGTGAAAGAGCTACAGCCATTGCTGCCAACACGCTCACACCGACAGCGCAACTTGTTCAGTAGCGCCGTATTCGAGGAAAACTTAGAGCATTTTATCATTTCACTGCTGGATGATGGCATTCCCGTACATTCTGGCCATGAAAGTTTGTTTGGCCATACATCACCTCTCTGGTCAGGGCAGGTAGCAGAAGGGGTGGCAGCGTGCCAGGACAGGTTGAGATATCTCATGCCACAGGTGTTATAGCCGTGGCCAGGAATAATCAACACCTGGTTGTTAGGTTCATAGTGCACTGCACCACCCTCTGCACCATCGTATTAAGAGTATATATACGTGATGTATTGTGTGTGAAAATCAATTTTGTACACAATGGTTGGGAATTAACTGAAGACACGCATGTTCAAGCCACCCACCCCCTCGTGTGCCCTTGCCGGTGCTCGCTAACAGCACACGTGCCCCCCTACAGTCTGTCAAGGCTATTCGGGGGATCTTTCTATTTGTCGGGTGTATAATTAGACAGGCATTGATATCGCAATAATACAGAGGCAAATACTGCACTCTCTATGTTGCATAGAATGTCCACTAAATAAACATGAGAGAATCGGTGACTGGAATTGTCAACAGTTAACATCTCGCCACAGTGGCAAGATGTTAACTACCTTGCCTGGTTTGCAGGTGGTCGTGGCTTCAATCCTGACCTTGACACCTGTATATTTTAAATGTTCTCCCCGTGGTTGTGTGGATTTTTCTCCGGGTCCTCCGGTTTTTCCCTTCACATTTAGCATCAACATCACGCGTTTAGAGTATTTGGCCACTTCGTTGAGCTGTTATTTGTCACCAGGCCGTTTCTGACAAAGAGCTATATAAAATAAAAAGTTTTAGCTTTTATAGTTTTTAAAAAACAATAGGATTTCCCCTTTCTGGCATTAAAACAGGTGTTAAGATATTCTTAGCTCTTTCGGTAAAGTCACGTTGAAGGGAAACAATAAAATAATAAAATATATATAACAATAAAAATTATCACGACGTTTCGACCATAACACACACGGTCGTCATCAGGTGTGATGTTATGGTCGAAACGTCGTGAGAATTTTTATTGTTTGATATATATTTTATTGTTTCCCTTCAACCATTTCAGCTCTTAATTGATTGTTCATGTATACAGTGGCTTTCAGACAGCATACATTAATTTTTCGTCTCCCCCCTCCTCTTTCCATTTCAGAACATAGATGGACTAGTCCTTCTAAATAAACTGCCAAATCGCTGCGCGTGGCGCTGACGTTTTTTAAATAATTAAATAAGTACGCCGTTTTTTAATAAATTAATGCAAACCGACACACCTGATGATGACCGTTTGTGTTATGGTCGAAACGTCGTGATAATTTTTATTGTTTTATATATATTTTATTATTTTATTGTTTCCCTTCAACGTGACTTTACCGAAAGAGCTAAGAATATGAATTACTGCAGTCACGAAAGCTTTACATCAAAATTTGGGTGTTAAGATGTTAAAACACCAAAGCGAATTTTTTTCAAGGAATCACATGTGCATTAACCACACGTACTTGTGGTGAACATGCAAACAAAAAACATGCTCTGATATAATATATGGCATTGTCTTTGAATCTGATTGTCCGACACCAGGGACAGGCTTCCTTAGGGCCTAGTGTCACCAGTGTCATACCAGAGAGTGCCAAAAGACGAACAGGACAACGACAATGTAATAACAGGGCACTTATATATCTAGGGTAAAACCTATTCTTATTTTTTCATACTTTGATACTCGCAAAAAAAGGTCCCATTTTATAGTTTTATTTGAAATTCAGTATTAAGTAATCGTATTCTCACACTCCCTCAGGCATAAACAAACAAGTTAATTAACTGTGGATCAAAGAACAAAAAAGGCAGTGTACATATACAAAAATATAGCACTGGAGGCGCATGCTAAAGGTTGAGTTTTTATTCAGTTAATTTAATTGAAGGTGACATGCAGCCTCCGTGGAAATACTACAAGTATATTGTACCGCCTAACAGAGGCGTATGCTGACTCAGACTTTTTATACAATTGACAGACGTTAAACTTTCAGACTCATGACAGAACAACGCCCTCAATCGCGGTATCGACGTTACTTAGATGAGTGCAGGGCATTGCTCATCGCCTAAAGTGGAAGTGGTAAAAATTCAACGTTTCTGTGGCAAGGTCAAGTCCTCCCAAATGGACAACCACAGTCATCATTCTACAAAGTAGCACTCAAAGTACGTTGATAATCTCTCAAGTTGGAAACTTGATGCGACTCTGAGCAAACGCGCAACTTAAACACATAAGGCTGATATGCCAAATTCATTCTCACTTTAATGTTCACGTGAAAACCATAATGAATTAATTACAGCCCTTTGTCAATCCACTTCTGGATGAAGGTCTCCCCATACAGTCAGTCATATGGGGTTGCTAAACCATACTTCACCACGCTGGTCGGTGCAGGTTGGTGAAGGTGACACCCGAGGACTATTTTAAACATTACTTGCCACCAGCCTTGTTAAAAAATATCTCAACTAGGTTTTCGATACAGAAATTTATATGGGTTTCTGTTCACTCGATCACCCACAAGAGACCAGTGTCAGTCATTCTTATTCCAGTCCAAGAACGAATATATAATTGCTTTCTTAAACAAGGAAGGACCGTTGCCGCAACGAGGCAGGCACACTGGTAGATTTCGCTGCAATGTCCACATTTGTCAACCACTTCCACATCACCCACTCCACCCTGTGCATCCAGCCGTCACTCAAACGCCACGCAGCACAGAGGAGTGCGCTGTTCTCCCAGGTGCCAACGTGTCAGTCCCACCGCCACGCTGCAGGTGATGTCACACGCCTGTTAGAACCACACCTACGACGGTGACACTTGAAAAATATACCGATGCGGTCATTAACAAAAATAAGTCCACTCGAGCATTCCCCACAAAAACAGGTCACTGCACGGTACTGTACTACTAACGCACACATGTACAGCCCTCTTCGCAAATCCACTGCTGGATGAGGGCCTCGCTACGCCGTGTGCGGGTCGAGTAAATTAT